AGAGGAGATCGGCGGAGGTAACACGTGGACAATCGGTTGGTCTGTCGTTGGTGCTGATAGGGCTGTAGCGCTTTTGGATGGTGTCGCACGGTGGGTTCACACTCTGTAAAAACGAGAAATTTTGTCTCAAGGTGTGTCAATGAAGATGTCCTGTCTACACTTGGATTCAACGGCTCTAAATCAGGGAGTGCTCGCTCCTATCGCGATCAATAACCACCGAATTCTGAAAAGCACAAGTAGAGAAACACGTAGAGCAGTCGGCAGAAGGAGACACCAATCATGCCCCATTTGCAATGTAATTACCTTTTTCAAATGCATTGCACATTAGTAGATACTGGGACACCAGTGGGTCTGGCGGAACTCTGTCACAAACCTGGCGGTCTTGGATATTGAAAAGAGCATTGTAGTGTTTCTGAGCTTGCCGAACAAACGTTGCAACGAAGACGGGAATGGAAGTCCTTGTGCATCTATGACTGGCCAATATCCTTAACAACGCTGGACCCACTGGAGCTGTTCATCCATGTTTAGGATGGCTGTTATGAAGTCAGCAGAGGGTTCACCATTCTCGAGTTAACACAGCTAATCGGTGTGTTCGAAAGTATTTAGAGTGTTCTGAATGAACTGAATGCCGGTTCTTGGTGACTAGAGAGAGGCAAGGAGCGTGGGGTAAGAAACATCGCGTACTTCATGACCGCAAATATTTCGAAGTGGTTCGCCGACAGAAAATTCATGGAATATAGGGCATTGTGCGTTGTGTCTACACTGATTGCGTAGCGTTTAGATCTACTACTTACACAATTTCGCTGTCATTACTAGTGCTAATGCAACGAAGTAAAAGGAAGCAAAGTGGAGATACTTGCATAACGGCGCCTGTCGACAGGCTGTCGACGATCCGAGGAACACCGGGCTCTTGAGCACGTTTTGTTTTGAATTTCTATGTGCTATGAGCTCTTGGTTAGCCAAAGCTACTAGGACTCTTTTAAGATCAGGAAATTCCACCCTCCCAGGCTCCGCTTCCTGTTCCGTTGTAGCTTTCCTCAGCAGCTACGCCGACCCCGTATTAGTCCGTTTCCCGTTTCCACTCCTGGGAAATTACTGCCAGTACAAACCAGACTAAATTACCATTTTAAAGCAAGGACACACACAATAACTCACTATACTGGACTGAACAAGCCCTAGATGAACGTTGTACACGATGGCTCTCGGCGCCTGGTGTGCTCTGTTTCTGCTAGGCTGGTTGACCGTGGGAAGCGTGCCTTCACACTGGAGTAACTAAGCTGCATAGCTACCGCACTCTCTTGTGTGGTTTGACGAATAACTAGGATAGAAAACAGTGTGTACCCATGAAGAGGGGTGACCGCGCTTTCTCAATCTGTTCGACTTTGATGCTGGTCGAAAGGATCACTAAGACATATAGGATTTTCAGGCAATTATTGTCCTATAAGTACAGCTATGAGTGTTTATAATACTTTTAGATCTAGTTAATATGACATTTGTAAATAGAGAGGTGAGGAAGCAACAACAGGTGCGTTTTCTGCTTTTTCGCTGGAAGCTGAACTGGCAATGCATCGGACGGCTGGTGTTGTCGGGGACACTGGAGTGAAATGAAGAAGAGATCGTTTCCTACTCTATTTTCCTAGCTGTGAGTGTATTTCAATTACGTTTTAGGATGTTTTGGGGGGCACAGTATCCCTGTATAGAAATGGCCCGTATCTGGGCTCTACAGGATCGACTTACAAGATTGCCGAGGGAGAGCGTGCCGCGGCAACAGACGAGTTCAAACTACTGCTTAGGTCGCCACTATATATGACCAGCTAGACATTTGGCTTGATTGTTGCCATGGGGTCACAGATGCTGAAGCCGCGATTGCACCAGCGGCTGCTGAGCAGTTGCATTATCTCTGTCTTGACCCTAGTTCTTTACCCCACAGCCTACCTCACCAAGCGGCATCAAGTGGAGCACTCGCTCGCTAGGAAAAAAGGATTTAATTCCAGTCATTCTTTGGGACCCCATTTAGGTTCTGGACCCCTGGATACGTCTGAACACGCCTTGGAGCTCAACACTGAGCACATGACACACGGAGGTTTTTCACGCATTCCTCTCGAAGCATCTTTGCACGATCAAGTATCTAATACAATAGAAACCGGTATCAAAGCACATGTCATAACTTCCCCACATAGCGAGCCTGCTACAGTGAACCAGCCCAGGCAAGCGCCACTTCCTTTAGCCCGTCAACAGCCACGCTTGTCTCATCCACCTTTCTCTTCACCATCCTCTCCTTGCTTTGTGCATGATGTGCCTATTGCAGTGCAAAAGACCTCAGACGTAACAACTGCGGCAACACAACGCTCTCGTGTTGTTTCAGCAACTCCTGTTGGACAATCTTCGGCAGAAGCTGCTCTTCCAGCCGTACCATTGGGATCTACGCTGTCCCCTACTTTCACTCAGACTGGTGCCCCTGGAAGCCGTCGAGGAGGGCTGGTCTCGGTTCAGCAAGGTGCCCCTGCTGGAAGTGCCCTAGGAATCGCAGCAAATGGAACGTTTACAGCCGATAGTGCAGTTGCAAGGCCTCTAGGGGTGCCTCAAACAACAGAAGTTTCACAGTCTTTTGCACCGAAATACGTAGGACATTATGAGGTCCCGAAAGCCTCTACAGCCCCTGGCGACGCCGATTATTCAGCAGTAGGCGCTGCGCTCAGTGTCCCACAAGATGTAGTGCAGCACAACGATGTGTCCACTGAGGATGAGGATCACACTTGGATAGTCATGCTGGTGTTGTCGGCTGTGGGCGCCCTTTGTTTGGCATCAGGCTTGATGTGCGTTATTGCTTGCCGAGGATCTGAGGGAAGCACGGAGACGATGAAAAGAGTCAGCTCCACTCTTAGTTCAGAGAGAAATCGTCAGCCCCGGAGCTTCGAACACATTCTCTATGCCCGTGACTCGGATGTAAGATCCAAGTCAATGCGGTCTCTAACCAGTTTATTCAGCAAGAGCCCCAGGAATACGAGTACCCCATTTGTGCCTATCAGTAACCTTCAGGAAACTGTTGATGCACCTGTCTCCACGTCGTTAAACCGATAAAGCTAAGTTTAGAAGATCTCCTGTCAGGCCCATCAGCACTTCAAGTGATATTTGGGGATAGCTTAGATCTGGAGCTCCTAGCAAAAACGAGCTTTGTATCTACGTGATAGATGTTCCTGTTTTCCATTATTGCAACGTCATGCCCTGGTACATTACGGGCCCGGTATGCAATTTTGTGTCAAGCGTAAAACAGACGTCAGGGTTTCACCGGTTGCGGTGGCTGTCGTGCACTAGGGTCAGACAGAAGAGCCAAATGTTAGATTTGGGCATTCTTTTTATTTGGGATAATCATACGCCAAATAAGAAATCAGGCATGTTGTAACTTGACACATGGCCAGCTACCAAATACCCTTGAATAATGTCAGATGAATCGCATACCCGGTGAATCGCATTAATCTGTCATGTTTGTCTGATACTCACTCGTGTAAATTTTTTAGCCATTGAGAAACAGTTCCTTTTAGTGCATAATTTGCTGCCGGATTTGAACAGTCCCCGACATGTTGTAACAAGAAGTCTCCCTCCATTTCGTTGCCCGGGGCTCGTGCCGGGCAATTCCGGGGTGTATACATAGGTCGCATATGTTACTGGAAAGCCACTCATCAGTAATTTCGTGAATGCCAAATAAAAAAGAATAATGGGGTGAAAGTAGGTAGATGTGGTACATCTGTTATGGGTTCGTCAGGTGTTGACATACATGGAGATTTGCCTGCAGTATGATAAGACTACTTTCATCCAACACATGCTGGAAGGGGGATTACAGATATTGCGGCTGAGTGGCTGATAGTGGAGCTTGCTTTGCCTAAAACAGACACTTGGCACGATATGTGTGTCAGACTTGCATGCAGGACTGTCTACACGGTGATGGCGCTTATATGGCACTACGGCCTCGTGGAAGAGTCCAGGCAACAGAATTGTAGAAACTCTGCGAGCTAGTTAGTGTATGACCCTTTCTCTGTACTCAGGGAATATTTGCTCTACCCGCCGTAGACGTGAGACCACGACTGTTCCCAGATGTGGAAGTAAGCGAGATCTACATCGATTTCCCGTTCGGTGCCCGTAATCAGAACCAGGGGAAGAGAGAAACGCGCAATTTCGCAATGCGAAACAGGAAAACCATAGAACGAGGGCAGTGCCGATCTTCCGCTAAGTGTAGTGTCCGAGTATTTGCGTGTTCAACTGGATAAATTTGGTCCAAGTGGATAGTCTTCCTCTTAATTTCCTCATAAATATTTGAGAGGAGCGTTTGGCTAAAAGTTTGACGCTATCTTTAGAGGCGTTTCATGCAAAGAGTTCTGGGCATGCGTTTGGTGCTCGGAGACAGCCGGGCTCTCGATATGGCGTAATGAACCAATGCACTCTGTTGCCGCCGCTCCACGTGTTCTGTCTATCGGCTTTTTCACCCCAGTCAAAGTATTCAAGCATTTTCATGCAATTTTAATGCATGCGCTTCTCCAGCGATAAGAAACCCTCAAGGAAGGAAGCCACGGGTCGAAGGCGCAAGCCGCAGGACTCGACGGCTTCTGCCTGCTCGCGGCCCCCATTATGCGCTTTTTCGAAGTGCCTCCAAACCGCTAACTTTTGGTGTATTTGTTTCCGTGGGCTACAGGCGTTGGCGAGGGCGCTAGTTCAGCCGGGACCGATCATTGCTGCAGCCGACACCTGACAGAACGAGGGTGCTGCTACAGCACTGGCCCACGGGAGACCGCAAACATAGTTTACCCCCTGTGCATTCGTGGACAAATCGCATTGATTCTTTGCCGTATTCTCTGGTCTTGTAGCCTTCTCGGCTGAGGACTGGGAAGAAGTCAAGGGAGGCATGTGGCTCAGCCGGTGTTTTTGCTGAGCGTGGTTGCCGCAAGAAAGAGCTCAAGATAAAGGGTCATACACAGCTATAGCTGAAACATTATCCACATGCAGCAATGACCGTGGCGGGCTGCTGTGGGTTGGGGGCAAATGCCCACCACAAGACATTCTGGTTGATGCTGGGTTTGGTGCTGCTGTCATCCTTGCTTTTGATTATTAAAGAAAGAAGCTTTGCACGGGAAGTCCATAAGCTGACGCCTATCCTGGCCTCGCTGGTGCCTTCTTCTTGTGTCCCAAATCCCCAAAATGACGGATTGTACGTCCATCTGGAGTGTCCAATTAGAAACTCTTCGACCTTCTACCCACCCTCAAATTTTGCAAAAAACATTTCTGCTTTCCGTGGAGTATTCTTTGAAATAAAGGCGGAGATGTTTCAGTTCACTAATACTCCAAAACTCCTCTCCACTAGCCGAACGGCGGAGTGGGTAGACCACCTCGTGAGTCAGTGCTGCGTACTCTGGGTCCAGGGGAAATAACTAAGTGCCATGCATTCTCTTCGACACAAGACGTTTGCTCGTTCTCGATAGGCAGCACCCTTCTAAGTCCTATTTCATACCTTACAGGAAAAAGGAGTACTTCAGCTTATTTGAACACGCCGAGTGCATGACCAGTCTTCCGCGCTGTGGTGTACGCAGGTTGCTGATTCATCGTGGATTTTACTTGGCAACCAACGCAATCCGGATTTCTTCCCTCAGATTCCCGGCATAGGTCGCCAGGCAGGTCTAAAGCTCTTAAGACCACGGCAGACAGGCCTGTTGCCCTTACAAACAAATACTTGTTTATTCTTCACTGAGCACAATCGGTGGCTTATGTAAACCCTTGTTGAGCGTTCGTTGGTTTTTTGCAGTTAGCTTCGGGGCTTCGTGCTGGCGGTTATACGCTTCCTGGTAGCTTTTCTGGCTTCTTTAGGGAGAAGCAGCAGCTCTCTTTAGAGGACGATGGGGTATTTGAGCCGGAGCAATCACGGCCACCCCGAAAGATAGACTCTCAGAGCACTCTGGTGTACAACAATCATCTATACACTGGCAGCCCTTTGCGGCCCCAAGTCGGTGATATCCGCATTTCATTTTGGGGAAACAAGTCTACTCACGTCAGTCTTATAGGCAAACAGCTAAAACCCTACTTCGGATCGGGAAGGACCATTCTGGATGCACCCACGGATGCAAGGAAGGTACGTGAGACGCTTGAAGCTACCTAGCCAAATAGTCCTTCTGTTGAGTAGAAGGCTCTCGGAAAGAGATGAAGTAAATAAACGTGGCTCTATGCATCGCTAGCTACGGCAATTAAAAGGGACAGCCAATGCACTGCATTGCATGCACCTGGCCAGCTGCGTCTCCCGGTTTTACGCACTTGTCACTATTTATTGTGGCATGCCTTCTTCCCCTTTGCTCGTAATTTGACTGAGCCATCTCGCACTTTCTATATGCCCTTTCACCAACATTTTTAATGTGCTTGCATTGTGGTCTCTCCAGCCAAATTTGTTCCCTTCCTGCTACCTGTGCTGCTTCATATTCTATCTGCTTGATATTCTGCTTTTTCACATATTGCTTTTACCCTGCCCAAATTTCTTGTGCTTGCCTCAATTTGACTGTGATTCAGGGGGAGCCAATAACTATACTTGCTGAGGGGGACTACAGTCCACAGAGCTTGATAGAGCACCGTCTGACGGAACTAGGGTTCCCAGCCTCTTCTGTGTGGACGTGGAGAGCCGTGGCGTTCCTGACTTTGTTTGCCTTCGTGTTATTCTTCAATGCATGGGTTGCCATGTGGTCTGAGGAGAATCCACTCGTAAGCCGCATGGCAAGCACTTCCAATGGAACATCCATCTGCTATATAGTCACTTAAATTCCACAAGTACCACGTGCAACAATAGTGGACGACGGCAGTTAGGCCTAGGCTTTTTATTGGCCAATGCAAATGCGTTAAAAGCTGCTTTATTGTGTAAAGGGGCAGACTTCGGGTTAACGTTCATGTTATAAACCTGAAAGGAGAAAGATTGGGCTCCCCCGGTTGGACTGTATTTCTGGTATCATGAACTGCAGCCTGTCTGGGCCCGTTGCTTCCTCTCTGCGCTCATAGCGCTCGCTACAGTGCTACTAGAACTGGCAGCCGGATGGTGGACGGTGGAGGCTACCGCGGCTCGTCGACTAGCGATGATATCTGGCGTTGTTATTGTCGCTGCAGGGCTCTTCAGGTGAGTTGTTTAGCACCTGGTGTGTTACACGAATGAGATCACTAGTAGAGAGAGCGCATTTCTTTTGTCTATTTGCCTTTTGTTGTTTAATTGTTATTTTCAGGCTATTGCTACCGCGAATCCTTCCACAAGTACCTAATGCGGGTTGTTCTCCTCCCGGGGCATATTACGACCTTGGAGTTTGCCTCCAGGCACCGAACCCGGGTTCCGGTTCCGGTATTCGATTACAGGAGACAAGTGCAAGTAGTACGATGCCTACAGAGACAAAGCAAGGGACCGTTATACGGTGGACAACCACGCCTGCACGGGCACACTCCTCTGCCGAAGATGCCCTGAGGAGGAGCACAGTTACCGGCACCGCCACCTACGTGCAGCCTTCTAGCAAAGACGAATCTTCTACAACTAGTTACAAGATGTACACAGCTTCGCCCATGCAGCCAGTAAGGGCATCAAGCCTAACCAACATGCACACTCATAAAAGCTCCTCCAATACTTCTCTCTAAGGCTTCTAGGGAAACGGGGTAAACGTTGGGCCAATAGGCTAAGCGTTTTAGCCACCCTAACATTCCCTCACAGCTTTTTACGTGCTGACATATATACGCAATAAAGAGGAGTGTTTTACTGGAGGAGAGCGAATAATCAGCGGCCAATTGAGTGCGTTTGCCTGGATGCGCTCCAGGCGCAGGGACCTTGATTTGTTGGAGATATGAACCCACTGAGTAGAGAAAAAGCTTCTTTCAAATGTTAAACTACATTATCCTGCAATAGTCTGCCATAAGGTCGGGCGCACCGCGTGGATTAATAGGGACAAATAAACAACAGGCACAAAGTGTATTTTGCTCTGGCTGCTAGCCTTGAGCAGCTGCAGAATACCGGGGAAAGAAGGATGCAGCTGAACCATTTTTCTGGCTTTCGTAATCAAAATTAGGCTCAGTGTTGTGGTGGTGGGGCTTATGCATTCCCAAGCGCTCATAAAGTCTCCACATATTGGTGAACAAAACGGCCTTAGAGTGTTGCGTCATCTAAACGAACATGCTCCCTTCTGTTCAACAAGTCTGTGGCCATTGATTGCTAGAAGTACATCCTGTAGAGTTTCGCAGTGTGTACGGAATGCCTTTAATCGTATTCTGAGCACAGCAGATTTCCGTTTGGTGTGCTTAGAGGGCTACGTGGAGTATACGTCTGAAAGTAGCCACAAACAGAAGCTAGGAATTCTTTTACTAGAGTGAGTTGCTTTGTCCACCATATTCTACATACATTATTAGACCTTTTTGTAATTCCACTAGCCACAAAGAAGTGGGTCACTAGAGGCCGAAGTTACGGTGAGCAAACGACGCAGTCAGCGTCAGTAGTAAAACAAAACAAAAGCGAAAAGCAAGGAGAAAAGTAGAGAATCCTGATTAAAGTGTCGGCGAATACACCCGTTGGTTTTTAAATTCGTCAGTTGACGAATCAGGCCTTGTAGAGTTAAGTGGCGCACATTAAAAAGCTAGACTAAAGCATATTTTATATTATAATACCTATAATAAAGAGTAGTTTATCTGCAGTGCTGGCTCAATGGCTGAAACTACGGAGCTTGGTACAGTGGCCCGAACACATCCTTCCATTTCTTTCTCGGCTCTCCTTTCCCAATCATAGCGTTTTTATTATCTGAAACTTTTTATTTGATTTAAGTTTTGTTATTTTGTTTGGTTTCAAACAGGAAGTTGACTGCTTCCAGCATTCAGAAGCAGTCCACTGGTCTGTCCGTCGGCTGTCATTCAGTAGAGAGAAGAAACACGCCCATAGCGGCAAAGAGGATAACCGAATACCTCATCAGAAAGCACTTCGTTAGCCGGGATGTTGCAAAACATCAAACGGAATCTATTTGGAGGAGATTCCTCAGACGCACTCTCAGGTGACCCCAAGTTTATTCTCTTAGTCACTGAGCATTGCAAGTGCATCAGATCCTTCATTATGTGTGTCCTCCGTAACTCGGACTCAATGCATTGTTTCCCAGATTTAAAGCTTATTGATGTGCTGATGCTGCGCCACATAGACTTAAAAACCACGCACCCTCAAAATTGTTTGCACACAGCACACTATTCACCTACTTACCCCGAAAGTGATGCTTGGTTTGATCCGAGCGCTTCTGCCTAGCTGTACCGTCCTTTACTTTCTCAATCTTAGCAAAGGTGCACACCTCTGCATCTCTGGCTGTCCTTTCCGTGCCCATTTATGTTGGATTGATATTCCCATCTGCGGCTTTCCCTGCTGAGCTCAGAGGCGGTGAAGGAGCAAAGGCGCCACATCGCAAGGTCAATCAGAGCTCTAGACAGGCAGCATCAAAAAGCAGAAGTGGAGGAGAGAAGGGTTTTCAACGAACTCAAGACCCAGGCCATGTCTGGGGTAACCGACATTCCTCAACAGTGATTCCTGCATTCTAAATCGAAGCTTTATGCAGTGAACCGTAAATCGAGGATGTTATATGTGTCCTTTCCTGCCACAGCGGATCGATAAACTGCAGGCGAAACAGCTCATTGTAGTCAGAAGGAGGAGGGGAGCAATTCTTCGCTGCAGAGCTCAGCTAGGGGCTGCAGACATACAGGCAACACCTAAATCCTGAAACACTCGAGCTTAGTTGTTGTTGTACTACAAAGCACTCTTGGTCAAAGCTTCGTAAAACTTGGAAGGGTGGCATCGTAACAACAGCATCTGCGATTTTCCTGGCGCCCAAGTGTTTTTTTATTCATCGTTATGAGCAATTGTTTGACGTGTGGTGCTTGCTGTCCGTCTACCAGGTCCAGCAGCAACAAGCGACTCAAGAACTCCACAGGCATTTCACCGGCTGCGCCAAGGTGCAGTTGCCCTATTGTATCATCGCTAGATGTTCGACAATCCGAATTAGACACAGATTAATCGGTAGATAATTATTGAGATTTTACGAGCTGTGCTGTTCGCTTCAGTTACTTTCACTGGCCAACAAAGCCGCAGATCTTCAAACAATGCAATTGGCTGTTAAAGGCTTCACGCGGGAGTCCCAGAAACTTGGCTTACTGGTAAGCAGCTCATATGTCTAAAGCCTACATGACAAACCATAGGCTTTATACTTTTGAATGTATTTTTGTGCAGGATGAAATGTTGAACGAAGTCCTCGAAGATGGAACCGCTCAGCTTGTCAGATCCACATGCACAAATAATTCTGGCCCGAATGCCCAAACTCTGAACTCATACAGTTGCTCACGTCTGCCTTTTGAGTTTGGGCTCCCCAGTACAATTCTAAATGGGGTATTACTGCTTCTGCATAAGCAGGTACAGTTTAGAGCGAACAGCGCCCTTTTTTGTTGTCAGGAAGACGAGGAGGAAACAGAAGAAGAAATAATTCAGGAAGTCATCGAATGTGCAACTGCAGAACTCGACAGACAGGTGAAATCTGAATCTGACCCGGTAATCTTAAGGCTACTCTTCGAGATGTGCCATACCCACGAACTGTAAATCGCAGGCCTAAAGTTTTTTTCGGCGACCTTCGCGCGCTGTGTCGCAGCTTTGAATACTTGTATCCAGCATAAGCACGCAGCAGTATTTTTCACCAACCATTCATCTGTTTATCCAATAATAAGGCAGAATCGCTACACCAGAACCAGAATGCTCTGCCTTACAGCATTGACCAGTGAAATGCCTCGCCAATAGCCCGTTAAAGACAGCGAAATTTCCGAAAGCTATCAAAGCATATTCTATTGTGGTACATGTGCATTGCAGCTAACGCAGCCAGAGAACTTCCGCTTGGTGGACCCTCCGAGAGAAGTATCTCTGCAGCGCCACGAGAATCAAGTGGATCACCACCAACAGCAACCAGTGCGGCACCAAAAGCAACAACCGCTATGCAATAGTCAGAAACAAGTACTACTACAGAAGCTCTCGGGCAGCGCACGAGCCACAAGAACACCATGGCTAAGTACTACAAACACAAAACTCTATCCATGACGTACAACATTTGAGATGTCAAAGTTGAACCTCATCCTAATTGAGTTTATTTGTTCTCCAGTGTCAACCGAGATTTCATGCCAGACAGTAGAAAATTAAAAAGGGTCGGAGTTTGCGGTTTGCACTGTATGGACTGCAGCAAAGGACGAAGCAGCAATTGCCGAGAGGCTGGACCAGCGTCTAGGATCTCTCCTTCGCTAAACTCAGAACGATTAGAAACGCCATATCTTCTGTTGTACACCTAGCATGTTCTCGTGGTCACCAGTATCGGTTGGAGGCCCTTTCACCTGCAGATGGCTCTCTCGACACATGATGAAATTGCTTCCTTTCCCAGATGATCCCACTGATTAAATAGCTCCTTTTCATGAGCAATATCTCCTTTGATTGACACTTTATATCTTAGCGACCAATCCCCTGCACAAGATCCTGCTTTTAGGCAGTGCACACTTTGGCTTAAGTGGAAACACTGTAGCTTCAGTATATTCTTTATGGTCTGCAAAGAAACGTTCATGCCCACCAAAGCTTGACTCCTTTGATTCGCTGTCGCCATAATGCGGAGGCTCTGACTCTAGGAGTTAGAGAATGGGGAACGCGCAAACTTTTGTGAGTCCCTAACTGCCCAAGGCTTCTCCACGCTTGTAGCAAATCTGAGGTCTAAAAGAGCAACTGGGCCTAAGGTTAAGGGGCTGTCAGCTGAGAGCTGGTTGGAGATTTAGGTAGGCATGCAGCCGTAGATAAAGAAGCGGGTCACATAGGAAAGGCAAGGGAAAAGTTGTAAAAGACAAGCAAAAAAGTGCATAAAGAGATCTATGGAAGGACACAGGAATATACTGGCAAACAAAGGGAAATACTGCAATGTGTGTTATGAAGCAGAAAATCAGACCTCCATCTACCATCTTTCGCCAGAGAGGCAAATGATTTCCTTGGTGCTATTCATCTGGTCATCTGCCCCTTGGCTTTTCGTGCCCGTTGCTGCAAGCTCTAAGATGGTACATTTTGTATTGCTGGCAGTAGTGGCAGCTCTAGTTGCTTGGTGGGCTAGGCGAAGAAAGGCCGAAAAGATAAGAGCAGTGGGGCGACGAGGAAGCAGGTGCACAGAAGGGAGTGACAGGTCAGAAGAACTCTCCATTAGGCGGAACAGCTGCTTTTTTCGTTCAGGTAGGTGAAGCCATCCTCGTTCCAGGTGAGCCATTATCCAATCACTTGCTTTGTGCGGAATCCATCTAGCAATTTCATGATGGAACCATAGCTTGATGCTGCTCACAAGTCGCATCCGCTTGGGAGAGCATATTCCACATTTGCGGCGTCTTCCCTTAGGACCTTCGCCGTCCGCCGTTCTCCACTTGGAGCCGAGAAATTGACGGCTGAGAAAGCGGACTGAGGAGCGATCGGGATTTCCCTGATGCCTGCAGGGCAGACGTAAACGGCCACAAGGCAAAGGAAGAGGAAATACGTGAGAGTACGCATGCAATATGCGCAAGATTCTGGTTACCGATGAGCAGGCAAGCCTATGTGCACGTTATTATGCTATAGGGTCATATTCCGGCCCTGCCTTCCCCTATTTTATACTGTTCCTCTCTGAGGCACTCTTCGTGGCTGCGAATGCATCGGTGTTCCTTCTCACCCTCGGGAGCGGTGTTGACATATCGCTGCATCATTTCCCTAGTAAGTTGCTGCTGCAGATCTTCAAACCATTTCTCTCCGACGACCCCGAGTTGTGCCGCAGCTACTGCAGCAGGTCCACCGCTGGGCCCAGCCAATGTTGCCAGTTCAGCCAGCTGAGGACGCAAGGGGGGGAGGGGGTTCTGCTGTGGTGGCTGCGGCTGATACTGCATAGACTGCTGCTGAAAAGGCGAGAAGGGCTGCTTTTCAGGCGTGGGCTTGACGACGTCTACAGAAGGTAGAAGCAGCAAGCCGACGGTACACAACAAGCTTTGCGTCCTGAACGCGCACTGTGGTGCTCCAGTTCAGAAGGTTCCCATACAGAGGTTTCAGCCCTCACAGCCGCCCCTAGCTAGAGCGCCCTTTCGTAATTATAGCTGCGTAGGGTGTATAGTGTCAGGATAGTGCGAGAATATTACCGTAGACAGGTCTAACGATGCCAGGAGCTCTGATGACATCGTAGGTGTTCGCTTGGGGTCTCGCGCCTATGAATCGTCCCTGCGCCGAACCCGGTAGAGCTCGTGCCGCCTTCGGAGGGCATATTCCAGGAGAGACTAGTGCACACTCAGGAATATCAAGCTCTTCCTCCTCCTGAACATTAAACCGTCAATCCAAAAGTGTCAGTCCTTAGACACTACACAAGCTGATGCCCTAAAGCGGATGCTGGGAACCACACATAACGATTCCCAGATCGCAGAAAAACTATCTCTCAGTAGAATTGCACAGCAGCCCCCTAATTCCTTGTACAGCGGTCTGAACGAGTCAAGAGTGACTCGAAGCCTGTTGACTGACTGTGGGATAAGTAGGCATGCGGCTTCCTGCTTCTTCGGGGAAGACGGCTTGGAAGGCTTCGGTTTGTGCTGCATTCCCTTCTGAGGTTTTGGTTTTCACCTTGAAGACCTCAACAGTTTGCGAGGTCTTTGAGACACGGGCCACGGATGCCAGCTGCACAATGCACATTGTTGGCTGTACGAATCGCAGTGGCTAATTACAGCAAGAGGAGATGGCGAGCGCACAACATTTGCTAGATACGGCCTGCTGAGCAGGGCTTTTCCCGAGACCAGATAAAGACTGAAGATGCGCTAATACAATAGACGGATCGTAGTATTTAAAGGAGGTTATGTGGGAATTAGGGCTAGGTTTTGGCCCTAAGGAACGAAAGAGGGCGGATTGTTTCCAAAACGCAGCACCAATGCCAGGAATACCAAAGAGGTATTCTACGTACACTTGGAAGGACGACGGTGTTGTGGGTTCTCGCAGATTCTGCCGCAGCCCTCTGTAACAACTCAGAGACTGTTGGGACAGGGTCTGCTCCTCTCATAGTGGAAGGCAGCTTCAGCTGTCCTTCATCGCGTTGCTGCTCTTGCTGTGGCTGTTGCTGGGGGAGCTGTTGATGCGGCAGGTTGACTGCGGTGCCTCCAACAATGAAGCGGCACTCTGAAGGGTGCGCCTCAACGTTTGCTCCGCTCTGAAAGGACATAACACCTCTACGTGGTGGTTGAATACATGTACCTGGCAATGGAATCTTGGCTCCAGTGAATTACGGAAGATTGAGGGCCCATAGCGCAGAAGTTCACTTAAACCGCCATACCTGCAGCCTAATAAGCAGATTGTTTGACTTTGTGATGGCAATGACGCGGCCGTGTCCGCCTCCTTGCAGCTGTACAGACACCTCCTCCTCGAAAGGGCCTTCTGTGGTCGCCTTGCTGGCAGTGCTGCTGCTTCTGTTCGGCTGCTGTGGGGTGCTACATTCCCTGTTGCTGCAGTTCATGCTACCTCGGTTTTCTCCTGCAGACACTGGCGTCACGCAGCCTCCCTGATCGGGGAAAAGCACCGGCAGCTTGATGGGGGGAAGCGTAGTTTGTTGGGGTTTCAGCCTGTAGCATAAGGAACGAACGGCAGCGCACGGGGCAGCCGCAAGAGTCGACACAGTCAGTCAGCTGCTGCACAGGGAGAAGTGGCACTTGCAAAAGAGCGAAGTAAGAGCTAAACTCCATCACGAGCAGAGTTTAATAACTATGATTTACGAGTTGCAGAGGGTTCGGATGCCTTCTTTGAGTGTCCAGTGTAAGGGATGCTTCCTCCTCTGTTGCTGCTGGAGCTGTTGCTGCAGCTGGAGCGCGGCAGCGGCAGGGCTAACAGCTTCTAGAGGGGCCTCTGCAAGTCTTTTGATCTCTGCAGCACTGTGAGCGAAGGCGGCAATGCGTTGGATATCCTGCAACTCCCCAATGTGTGGCAGCAGGGAGATCATGAACTGTGGCCATTGATGCCTCTCTGAGCCATCAGGATTAGCAATGGCTGGCGGCACAATCAAGCGGCCTTCACCCCCGTCCCGTTGTTGGCTCGTTTGTTGTCTTTCCTCGCTCTTCTGATGCAGATCGGGAGACTGAGATGCAGTGCTCTGTTGGCGAGCGGCCGCCTCGTCCTCATGAGGCTGCTGTTGCTGCTTCTCTTGCAGGACGGGCGGCGTGTGGCTGACCTGGCGCGAAGACACCTTGTCGGTGGCGAATTCTTCTACTCCCTGCTGGGGAAGCTCCTGCGGAGGGCTGAGTAGGTTACCACTGGCGCTTATCTCCTCTTCACTGCTGCCTCTAAGGGGCGAAGCGACACAGCTGTTGCTGCCGCCGCTGCTGCTCCCATCGGTGGAATGCAAAAGCAAGTAGTCGTCGAGGCAGCCGGAATAAGTGGTCACTGCAACAAGGCGACCTCCCTTTGCAGCTGCTGCGGCCGCTGCAGAGGCTGCAGAATCGGATCGACTGAGTGCGCTGTGTTCTGGAGACAATGCCCCCGCTATTTCATTCCGAGCTTGAATAAACAACCCCTGCTGATGCCGTTTGCTGTGGGTTTGCTTCGGCTGGTGCTGCTGCTTGGAGGGGCGCAGGCGTGCGGGCCTTACCCGCTGCGGGGTGTCGAACGAAACTCCGAACATTGTAAATATCTGAAGCTGCTCAGTTGCAAGTCGTATTTTTGGATCAGAGATGGCTGCAATTCTTCGTTCTTCCGTGGAGTGTCTGAGCAGGTAGCCAGAACCGTCGGCGACACCTGATGAGGCCTTCGATACGGTTGTGGTGTTGCTGCTCCCTCTTGGGTTTTTTTTCGTAGCTGTAAGGCTACCCTCAGAAAGAAGAGGATGGGTTTCCGATTTGTCGCGCTTGCATTCACCTTTGTGCGCTCAGTTGTACGGGCTGCAGGCAAATCGACCGCGCCGCCGCTGCCGCAGGCAGGGGCAGCCGCACTCTCTCAGATTTGCGGCAAGGGTTTAGGATTTATGGTTTAAGGAGCTGTAACAAATTCAAATAATTGGAAATACTCGGGTCAAAAGGAAGGAGAGCGAACCAAAACCGCAACCTACCACTGGCTAGTTGCTGCCGAGTCGTCCCTGCCGCTGCTGCTGTTGCAAGTGCTGCTGCTGCCGAGCCTTCTACTGCTGCCCCAGCTAGTGCGAGCACACTACCGACTAAAAAAATATACCAATTGATAGGGCTTGGTAAATTTGCTGCAGCGATAATCGCAACAGGTACTGCAACAGCTGTTGCCGTTGCCACCACACCCGTGCGTTAGAAGCAAATCACCCTGTCAAAAGGCGGGCGCTACTGTTGTCCCCATTTGATGTTCACAGAACCGAAACCATGTACTATAGCCTCTAAGTGGTTTTATTATAGCCACATCAAAGGACCAAGCGACATGTACTTGAGGTGTCTGAACACCCGCCGCGCTCATGCATGCTGAAGCGCAAATGCTGTACCAAAAGAAGGAACACAGCTTTGCGTCAGTCTGAAGGGTCTACAGGCCCCGGGCGCCACTCTGCACATACTCATCCTGGCTAATGGCCGCTCACGAGTCTCTAACCACCAAGAGAAGCCCGTGCAGCAGGAACAACAAAGGCCAGAAAGGACGACAAATCACTAGCAGTTGTTGCGTAGGAAACTAGCCCCATTCTCCGGGCTACTCTACAGCATCAGTGATAAATGTCGAAGCCTGGGGCCTTTGAGCTTCAATGCTTGGGCCGCAAAACCCAGCGTAGCCTGAAAAGGCATTTCAAAACGGCCGAAGGAAAACAGGACTAGAGAGGAAGCGAAAGGACACAGGGAAACAGAGAACCCACAAGGGTGAGGACTTGTACGCCTGCTACTTGTTGCATAAGCTTCTACTAGAGAAGCCGGTTTGGTGCAAAATACTGATTGAAGGTAAAGCTTCGTAACACTCGCACGCTGTACGCCGTTGCCAGCAACTTGACATCTCCGTAGTCAACAACGGTGCATATCACTAGGTATCCAAATAATTATCCGTAAAACATTTCATTAAGCGCCAACGCAGCTACTTAGCTCTGCATATAACCCGTGTGTCGTAGAGGGCTATGCTGCAATCCAGGCCTTTTCATAATGACTCGATGTCTAGCTAAGAAACAGCAACCAGTGGTCGAAGCGGTTTGTATGTTCGTATATCTTGCTTATTTCAGCCCACTGCAGCCTTCATACAAGTCGACTAAATGTTGTTTGGGTACGCAGTAGGCGTTAGGTGCAATCAATGAATGTGCGGTGTGCTCAGAAGATGCCGCTACGCGCATGCTAACTGCCTCTTTCCCCTAATGTCGGGGATTCTGAGGGCACAGGCAAGGGAAAAGGGAAGACTATGAAACTGTGCTCAATAGCGTGTAATGAATTTTGTATTCCGCCTGAGCTAAGATGCCTCTCCGCGGAGATCCTACGTCGAGCGTTACGGACTCTAGCTAGAGGGCTGCAGAAGGCACACCCCGTTTAAGTTCGTCCACGAAGGGACAGAAAGCCACCACAAAGAAAATACAAACAGCAACTATCACTAGGTCTCAGATATCTAGCCAGATTTGAGGGGGTCGGCGAGATGGTTGACAGCGTAAAGCAAAGATACGTGAGCAAGCCAGGCGCATGCGTGCAGCCAGCCAGCCCAGAAAGCGGCCCAGACATCAGAGGGCAGTTATCTGCATTCTGTGATGCGTGCACAATCGCCTATGCAACTTGACACCTAAGTATCTAGATGGATAACTAGCTAGTGGGGATGACGGCCTTCTGCAAGGGGGAAGAGTTGCAGGAGGCTGTAAGTGCAAGAGCCTCGAGAGAGCTGCTGCACAGGCCGTCACCGTTTATGCTGCTGCAATCCCGTATGCTCTTTCTGATGCAGTTTCTCCCGCTGCTGCTGCTTCTGCTGGCAGCAGAAGCCTCCGTAGAGGCCGTGAGGCCCCTCACTTCTGACACTGAGGGATTTCCTGCTGTTTCTGCAGGTGTCGACGTTGCGCTAGGACGCTGTTGTTGCCTTGTAAAAAAGGGTAGCAAGCTTTCTTCTCCCTCAGTATCGCTACAGCTTGGATCTGCGGCCTCGGGATCGCGAATGTCTGCTGCATCTGCTGTTGCTGCTGCGGCGACAGCAGCAGCTGTGCGTGCCAGCTGTGCAGCGCATTCAGCTGTCTCACGAGGAGTGCCACGCCCTGCCGCCTCAGCTGCTTCTGCAGCAGCAGCAGCAGCAGCCGCTGCAACGAGAGGCTGCACTGTTGCCGCTTGTTGGGCAGCAGCAACAGCGGCCGCTGCTGCTGCTGCCGCAAGTGGCTCATAACAGCTTATCTGCTCTCGTGAAGAGATCAGGCTAAAGCCTGCATGGGAAGCCTCGGCTGCGATTACCCATTCATCACCAGCAGACTCTGCGTCTTGCCTTGCAGTGCCGTCCGACAAAGACACAGAGTTCGCATCCGCTAGACTCGAAAAGGCGTGCTGTTTGGCCTTCTCCGTCCGCTGATGCCGCGACGACTCCTCTTTAGACTGCTGCCCTTTCTGCAGCGGCGTTTGGAGGGGGGGGCGCTCCTCAGCAGGCAACAGGATTTCTTTTGCCGTCACCCTACTGAGCACTTCTGATGTTGCCGCTGCCCTCGGCGATGTTTCAGTCTTTCTCCCCCCCTGATTCTGTTCCTGCTGAGCGCATGCGGCAGGCACAGCCGCTGCAGAGGGGGCCGGAGGGGGGCTGAAAAGCGGAGGTGTGGTGGCGCCTTGTTTCATGGCAAGCTGCTGCTTCTGCTGCTTCTGCTGCTGCTCGAGAGGCCCTCCGCGCATAAGAAGTCTTTGCCGCAGTTCCTCGTGGAAGGACAGCCCCTTTGTCGCGGTTCCTGCTGCTCCGGATTTCACTCCAGACGAGCTTGCAGGCGTTGATACTTTTGCTGCATTTGCCTGCGACTGCTTCTCTGCCTTTACTGAGAGCCTTGGACTACCGAAAGGAATTTTCGTACTTTGAAGAGGCTTTGCGGCTGCTGTGGCGGCTGTCGGTAGCTGCAAAGGCACCATGTCGGTGAGTTGCTGCTTTTCCGAAGGTCCATGGGGTCTTAGAGGGGGAGACAGAGCAGATGGTTCCTTGATGAGGCAGCACTGCACCGTTTTTTCTGGTTCTTGTGCTTCTTGCGCCGCCGGAGGCGATGTTTTTTCCCCTCTAGGCGTCAGCTGCTGCCCCCTCTGATGCTGCCGAAGTTGCAGCAGCGTCAAGTCTTCCTCGCATTCTCGTTGAATGGCAGCCAGAAGCTCTCCAGTGGGCCGCGTGCCTTTGCTGCTGGTGCCGCTGCCGCTAGTCTTGGGGCAGCTGATGCGAGTGCTGCCTCTGCTGTTCATTCTTGCATCTAGGAAGGACGGCTGTGATGGCTCATGGCATGGAGAGAAGGCGCGAGTCGCAGCAGTGCTGGCTAGGCGGTGCGTGCTGCTCTGGCTGCACGCGTGGCTCTCGACGCTGATTTCGCTGCTAATTTTGCTGGTGCTGTCGATCGTGTCTGCCCGTGTGGGCGCCGCGTCATTTCTGCTGCTGCTAACATGCTGGCTTGCAGCGGCAGCAGCAGCAGATGGTGGTGGCGCTGCTGCTGCAATTGTTGCAGCAGGAGAAGCGCCCTCCGTCATGCGACTCCTCCTCAGAAGAGGCTGTGGCTGGAAGACGGGGAGGTCGGGAAGGGCAAACCCGTTGCTGCTGCTGCTGCTGCTCTCCCTGGTGCACGTTGTAGTGGACGGTTGATGATCCTGTGAAGGCTCTCTAGATAAAGGCTTCTCAACAGAGGTCGCAACAGGTGCAGGTGCTGCCGAGGAGGCTGCTGCTGCTTCTGCGCGTCCAACTGCACTTCCTTGAGGAAGGGGCAGCAAGACAGGCACGCCGCTCGTCACAGAACCTGTAGCAGCAGCTCCTCCTCCTGCTGCTGTTGGCGCACAAAGTTTGGGCAAGAGATGCTCAGTGAGTCGAGAGGCCTCAACGGCTGTAGAGGTGCTGCAGTGGCTGTTGTTATTGCTGCGGCTGCTGCTGTTGGCGGTGGTGCTGCTGTTACTGCTGCTGCTGCTACTGCTGCTGCTATTGCTGCTGCTGCTGTTGCTGCTGCTGCTGTTGCTGCTGCTGCTGTTGCTGCTGCTAATCGATACACCTCGCGTGACAGAGTGCAGTCGTGGGAGACTTTGCTGCTGCGGCTCCTGCAAGCTGAAGGAAGTAAAGCTGCTGCTGCTGTGTGCCCTCAAAAGCAGCCGCCGCGAGGCTGCTGCCCCCTGTTGCGCGCTTCCCGCTGCAGCAGCTGTCGTTGTCGCAGTAACAGGGGACGCCGCAGTTCGCGAAAGACTCCCAACCACGCTCAACGAAGCAAGAGAATCTAGGGGAAGCAGCATAGACCGCCGCGTGCTACTTCCCCCGTGCTGCTGAGGCTCCTGCTGGTGCTGTTGCTGTTGCTGTTGCTGTTGCTGTTGCTGTTGCTGTTGCTCTTGCTGTTGTTTCTGCTGAGAAGCCTGCAGAGGAGCCAACCTTTGAATGGTCAAGCTCAGCGACGGGATGCCAGCTGTTTCGGGGGCAGCCGTTGTTGAGGCAACGGTCTGTGCATTCGCTCTGGTAAGCAGTCCTTCCTTGCTGAGGCTTTTACTCTTCATGCTGCAAGCTGCCGCAGGCAAAGACATAGGGGGGGCGTGCAGCACCGAGGCTGCCGCCTCGTCAGTTGCCTGCTGCTGCAGCTGTGGCGGCATCTGGTGGTACTGCGCTCCCTGCTGCAGCTGTGGCAGCTGCTGGACCAGCGGAAATTGCTGCTGCTGAGGGATCTGCGCTGGCGATATTGCATGCAGCAACTGGTCTGTGCGGGGTGGCAGCGACTCCGGCTGCCTTACCAGCCGTTGGGGCTGCATGTGTTGCTGCTCTTGCTGCTGGTGCTGCATGTGTTGCTGCTCTTGCTGCTGGTGCTGCATGTGTTGCTGCTCTTGCTGCTGGTGCTGCAGCTGCAGCAGAAACAATTCGACCGCGTCGCTGGAGCTGCCGTTTGCGGAACTGTCGGAGGAAGGCCAGACGTGCTGCTCTTGCCGCTGGTGCTGTGTCTGCGACATTTGTTGCAGAAGATTTGTCTGTGGCTGGAGCATCATGGATGGCGGCGACTGTTGCAGCAGCTGTGCTGCGTCTGCTGAGACCGTCACATAGGTGTGCTGCTGCTGTTGTTGCTGGTGCTGGTGCTGCTGTTGCTGTTGCAGTTGGAGCTGCAGTCGTACGAGTTCTTGCTCAGCCTCTGCCTGCTGGCCTATGTGTTCATCTGTGAGCTGAAAGAGCTGCTGCTGAGGCTGCTGCGGCTGCGTTGGCAGTTGGAGAGGGCTGGCACCACCCTCGAGCAAAGGACTGCCAGCGCTTCCACCGATTCCATTCGATATTCCAGCCGCATGCAAGGACGGCTCCTGAGGCGGATAGTAGAACTGCGGCTGTCTTTGCATCTGCAGGTGCTCCTGGCCAGGCGGCACGTACTGCAGGGGATACAAAGGGGGGGCATGCAGCATCATCCCCTGGTTTGTCGCCTCCTGCCACTCCAGTAGTGGCAGCTGCTGCCTATTCTTGTGCAGCATCGGCAGGGAGGCGAGGGGGGGCGGTGGGGAAGACCCTTCGGGGAAGAATGGCAGCACAGGCGCAGTAAGCCCATTTAAGACAGCACTGTTAGCTGGTGCTGATAATCTGGTGCCTCGAGGAGCATGTAGGGGTGGCTGCGTCAGCGTCGATCGAATGACTTTTGGAGGATACGGCAAAGCTTCCAAGCCGAAGAGGGGTTCTGGTGCTGCATCGGCACTCCCGCTAAAAAGGCATATCCTGAAGAAGCGGGAGGTGCCTCTGCAACAAGCCAGCAGACAAGCACAGAACGGACTGCAGGATAGTCCACCAAACAGTGCTCGTCGCCACAGAAAACAAATACATCGATGCAGCACCTCCTCCCCTAATCAACACCCCCACCCCGAAAATGCAGACAACATTGCACCGATGTGCCCTCCCTCTTACAGCCAGTGTCGATCTGCAAGCGTATTCCTCCAGATCTACCGCGTGCAGCTACTACGCGTAGTGAGGGTCTGTGCATCACGGGAGGAAATAATAAGCGAGCAGGATGCATTTCATACTTGATGACATTGCTTCTGATGAGAGCAACAAACTGCGGTTCCAAAATCATTGTCGGTCCCATCGAGCAACGGAGCGCTTCGGTACATTCTCGAAGGGAGACAGGGAGACTTTGCGACTTCGCAGCTACACGCATGCAAAGTCGTCGCATATAAGCACCATGCACAACCTGCGCTGCGCTTTATTTGGGAAAAGGCTACTCTGAATCACCATTTTCTTCGAAAATAGGATACAATGCTGCTTCTAGACGAGTGCAAAGGCCGACGAACTGATCACAGTTAGGAATCGCAGCTTACGATCAACGGCGTGAGAAAGCGTCATTGCCCTCCTAAAGGCAGCGTAACTCTTCTCCGTCCACACTGGAACCCTTCTCCGGCAATTCTGCTGCTGCTGCTGCTGCTCCTGCTGGTGCTGCTGCTGCTGCTCGTGCTGCTGCTGGTAGACGCACACCGAGTCATCCGCAAAGAAGCAGAATACGAGGTGCAGTCGGAGAGCGCCTGAGGCTTTTCCAGCCTCATGCGCTGTCTGACAGTCCAGCAAAGCCACAAGCCGCGTAAAGACCAAGAGACTGATTCTGCCCTCTCCCCCAGCAGCCACGCGAGCCAAGCGCTCTAAACAGCAGTTCTTTTTGCAACTGCTGCCACTGCTGTTGTTGTTGGAGCTGCTGCAGTTGCTGCTCACTGCGGCAAGACAGCAGCAGTAAGGCGCATCCCCCATGGCGGCATATGCTGCCCAAAACATTCCGACTTCTGCTGCGCTGATAGTTGCCGGAGTTGGACTTGCTGCTGCGGCTGCTGCTGCAATTGCTGCTGCAGTGGGTGTATGTGTATTGGCTCCAACAGCATCCGCTTCTGCGGGGCGCAGCAGCTGGTCTACTTGATGCAGGCGAGAAAAAAGAGCAGCGATGTACTCGAGTTGCTGCTCGCCGTATGCGGCTTCTTGCCAAAACCTTTGCAGCAGCGATGGTTCCCAGTGCATTGAGCAAGGCTCCTGAGCTCCATGCGCTCCTGATGCGGTAGACTCTGCTGCAGCCGTTGCCTGGGGGCGATACAGAGGAACTGCTGCTGCGGGGATGCGCACTGAGGGAGACAAAACAGCGGCACCTTGGACTGTGGGCATGTGCTGCCACTGCTCCACCGTCGTGGTCTTTAGCGGGGAAGCGCTCATGTTGCTGTGAGTGTGGAAAGTCGGCAATCCAGCAGTAGTTGGCACTGCTGCTGCGGGTGTTGCCGCAGCATCCAGTTGCAATGAGTGCAGCTGGCGATGCTGCTCTTGATGATACTGCATCGGCTGCTGCTGCTGCTGCAGTGGTCCACTCGACCGTACGAGTAACCCGCTTAGAGGGGAATCCAAGCTGCTGCTCCGTCGATGCTGCATCAGCTGCTGCTGCTGAGGCTGCGAATGCTGCTGGTCGTGATGCTGGGAAGGGGCAGAGAGACAGTACGAGGCGCTGCTGCGCCCTAGTCCTCCCCCACGCCTCATAATGTTCTCTGCCTCTGCGGCTGCACTTCTTGACAGATTCGGGGTGCTCGCAGGAATGAAAAGACTCTGATGATGGTCCTAGGCTGCTAATACCCACTAAGCTCCGCAAAAATGCACTGCTGCTGCCCCCTTCGAAGAGCCAATCCATTAAAAACAAAGCCAAAACATTCAATTCATGTTAAATTTGCTCCTTATGCTGCGATTTTGCATGTTGTAGCAATGTTTAACAACAAGAGCTTGCGGATTTGCTGCTAAAATGCCGCTGCTTTGGCTGCTACTGCAGTGGCCGCTGCATCCGGTGTCTGCAGCAGCTGCGGCTTTCAGGCCAAACCAAAAAGTTCCTTAGAGAGAAATTGAATTCCGAATAGGAGCTCAGCAATCAGCAAGCCAGGAATACCAGCAAGAAACAGGGGCAGCTGCTGCTGCAACTGGTACTGCGTGCTGCAGTAGAGGCGGCCGCGGCGGTCTGTAGGCGGTTGCTGCAGTGCGCGTAGCTTTGATACTCCGACTAAATCAGCGAAGTACCCCAGTTAGACTTAATCGATCATTTATTCAGGTATTTTTTCAATAAAAGGCCCTAAACTAAGGGATATGATCCCTAGCCCCGAACTTTCGGTGCATCCAGCGTGGCTACGTCTCTTCGGGGTTACCGCAGCACGATGGTCTCTTTGGCCTTCGTTACTGAGTTAAGCGACCGAAAAGCCGTTATGCATAAATTTTTCTGTGATGATATCTGGTGTGAACGGGGTAGGAATTCGCATTCGGGCTGACGGAGTGCAAGGGGCTGACCGAGGGCGGGCCAGATTGCTCAGCAAAGCGGCCGGCGAATACGGTCTATTTGCGCCTTGGCTTCATCCCAGTGCCCGTTTTGACTGAAATAACAGGCTGAATACGCCTCCCTTTGGCTTAATGAATCAATCACGTTGATAAAAACATTACAGAAAGGGTTTTCGTGCATGCATCTGGAATCAGGAAGCTCAGCATTGAAACCTGACACTGCCAGCTGCCAGGCTTTACCCAGCTTAGTACAACAAGGTTCGGAAAAGCATCGAAAGCAAAAGCTTCAAAGATGCCATAGATAAAGGCTCCGCGTCAAGCCACAAGATATCTAATATTTCGGAAACGTGTTGCAGCAACTGGAGAAGCCACACCCAACTCCGCTCCCTGGTTTCTGCAGGCGGAAATAAGCGGTCCACGACATATTTGGGCGCCTGGCTCTGCCTCAGCTCTGCTCATTAAATACCATTCATATTGTGCTTATTGGTCAGGTCTTCTTGCGTGCCCTCTGTTGCGCAGTAGGCTAGCCCTGGTCGATTAGACTGGTATGCTAGTGCCTGCGCGTCAAGCTTTATACGTGCAAAGGGGTGTGAGTAGTTAGAGGATGCAGCAGCACGAATCCTAACCGTCCTCTCTCGTCTCACGCCGGAAACAAAATGATATCACAGGAAGGGGGAACTCTGACAGGGGATTTGCCAAGTCGCTCTCTACTATTTTGTTTTCTTGCGGATTTTAGATAAAGGCCCTCTTACGAAAATTATACGATGAGTGCTACAACTATTCCCGAAATTTTTACAACTGATAAGCGGTCTGCTAGCCTCATAGTGTGCGTCACCTGTTCTATGACCGCCAAGGGAAACGCCTGCAAGAAGGGTCGAAGCGGGACGCCCTGTGGCGAACGCATGTCCTGCAGGGGAAATATTAGCCCGTTGCATTCCAAATCAGGGCCCCGATTACACCAATACTTGCATACTTGAACCGCTTGGAAATTTGGCATGGCAAAATCCAACAAGACAAATTACTGATCATTGCTCCAACTTTCGTAGGACACAATTAACTCCAGATACAATGCAAACTCAGTAGGAAGTAAGTGAGCGTGGTTTCATAAAAGCTTCCTGCTTCTCCTGCCGACGCTCCTCGGAGTTCTTGACCTAACCGAGGGCAGCCAGCTAGAGTGCGCATTGCTGCACTCTCTACGGCCTTTGTACATTCACAGCTAGCTACACTTAGCATTTCGCGCCGATACACATAACACTGCGCTTTATTCTATCGAGCTAGAGTCATTATGAAATTAGTAAGGTACACAAGCTTGCAAACCGGATTTGAAGATGCTTACCAACATTTTTTTAATAGAACACCAATATGGGATGCTTTCAAGTATAGCTAAGGCCCCGATTTTATAAGCACACGCCATCATGTACCGTGCCTACAAGCCGAGGTCAGCTATGTTCAGAACAGTGAAAGAGGTCTCACGTTATCGTCACTCCTCAGACACGTATAAATGCCGACTGGTGGACGCAAGGAAATCAGAGTGCGCACTAGCCCATAGAGAGAAACAGGAAGGAAGCAAAGCACAAACGCTGGCCAACAACAAACGGGGAACCGAATAGACCGGAAAAAAGGGGAGTGCTCTCGCGCTACCATCGAGGCAGTAATATGTGTGAGCCTCTTTCTACGATAGGACAGACAAGTAAAAGGTGTTTAGGAAATCAAAATACACAAATACACCGCAGTGCGGAAGTGCCTCCATGCCCCATCAAGCAAACAGTGTGTCTTCCTCAGCAATGCAGTTGACATTCTTGTCCATTTTACTAAAGTACTCGTCTAGCGTGCCATCGAAGTTCATGGTCCCAGAACCCAGCACATCTACCACTATGTAGGCATTCTGCTTCTCAGCACACATGGTTTGCTTGCACGGCAAAGTCTGCGAACAGCTCGAACAGTGTTGTCACTACTATGCGAGGCCAATATTGATCGTTAGGTGGCTTATTCGGCGTCGATAAAAAACGACACGGTAAGGAAGGGCATCGAATCGTGAGTGGATGGCAAATGTTGCTAGCTGCCTGGCCGCAAACCTCTTCGTCGGGTCACTTTCTGGCGCACCTCTCAGATCAGCCTGCTGATGTAACCGCAAACCAATACTACAAGTTCCAAACATAGAGCTTATCGCCCTTTCTTATAACTCGGTATGTGTCGCTCTTTAGCTTTGCACATTCAGGCGCGTGCACCAACCATTTATCTGTAAATCGCTCCCCCACTAAAGTTGAATGCTAAGCTCTGACTGCCACGTCGAGGCCTGGACCACAGACGGGCTTCTTAGTGTATCCCAGGGATGAGGTGGAGAAACGGGCATACAAGGGCAATATTAAATCACGAACTCACATAGCGAAAGAAAAAAAATTGAGTAGCACGCTTGCATTTGTATAAGCATAGACTCGCAAAGGCTGCTGGGAAATGCGGTTGGTGGGTTCTGTCTGTCCATCCGCCTCAAAGTGATTCCCTTTGCCAGATTATGGTCGCTGTGCATGGTCGGCATAAAGCCGCTCCGGAAATCACTGACTGACGTTGGATGCCCATCCGTAATGGTACCCTTAGGGAATCCATGGAGCCTCCAGGCATGGTTCAAGAAATATTGAGCGACTGTCTGAGGCATGCCAGAGCTGGGGCAAGCAATGAAATGGTTATACTTGCAGACTTTGACTACTACATAAATGCTATTCCGACCCTTTGCAGTCCAAGAAAAAGTTTCACAGTCGGATCAGTCCAAATGCTTTCAGAAGGCGGAACGCTCTGCAAAGACCTTATTCAGGCGACTTGCGTGGCTTCAGCGGTTGACAATCTGGGACTAACAGTGCATATTTCTCTGCCGCAGGACGCATATTAAGTAACTAGAAGGGCCGGGAGAACTCAGCACTGTAGTTTAGCTTTCACCTGGGCTCGAAAGGAGATTAGCATGCGTACTGGGCGAAACGGTGCTGTGAAGCAAAGTCGGAATCTACAAGCAACGAAGTCACCGCTTTCTTTGTAGCCACATCAGGTCATCATAAAAGTGGTAATGCTTTGCCCTTTTGGCATTCTGATACTGGCAAAAGTAGCTGATGCACTGGTATCACAGTTTCTAAGACTCATACAATTTCGATAGTAGTTGTAAAGCACTGCAGACCAGAGCGGCTGCGCTGCACAATGGTGGCCACTGAGGCATCGCGAGAGCGCGTCGTCGACTGCTGCGGGAATGCCCTTTGTACTGGATAGTACTGCAGGAGAATTCCAAGCCAGCGAACAACTCTAAGATTATCAAAATCTTGAAACACCTTCTCAAGGTATGCATAAGCATGATAGCTGGTCCAATCTGTAAAATGGCGTCTCAATAAACTGTTTTGTATTTTCAAACCCAACCTCTACACCGCACAAAATTCATTCAGCTGCAGTGGATAAAGCTCCTCAGTTTCGGTGAAGCTAGGATGTTCGCAAGGAATAATTTGGAGCTCTGGAGAGTTTGTAGTCTGTAGCGAGAAAGTAACACCACTAATACACCACTGGTATCGGCAATCAGGAAGAAAGGGTGTTCAAATTAGGGTAGTGCGAGTAGTGGAAGAGTTTTGAGAAGCCTGCAACACATCGTTGCTGGGGCATCATGCCACCTCTCCAGATGACAGATGGAATTTCCCCAAGCAGATCATCCAAAAGAGCAACGATCGGAACAAATCTAGGAATGAAATTTAAGCCATAACGTGTAGGCCCATAAAGTTCCCAATACAAGCTACGCCGTGTTTGGCTTGATTTTGCCAGATCCGCATTAAGCCCTCCGACCAAGATGCGGGATCCTAGAACTTTGCTTGTAAAATGCGAGTACTTGCGTGCGTTTTCCATCGACTTCTTGCTCCACAACAACTGAAGTGCTCGCCTTAGGGGCTGTACATGCTCTTGAAGATTCAGGCGGAGTACTAAAATGGTTTCCATGCAAGCAACCCTTCACGCCTCCTTGTTATGCTTACAGAATTCCGGAGTGACCGCTGCAGCTAAGTTGAAGATTAACGAGTTTTGTGCATTTAGTCAAGGCAGATGGGGATTAGTTAGAAGGCGTTCGTGGGGTCAAGTCCCAAGAAGACTGCTGCACATGCACACAGCATTGCGTCTTCTTATATCAAGTTAATAATCCTGTGTATTGCTTTAGGTAATACGAACGACGAAATAAACTCGTCAACTGTTCACTAGTTTTCTAGTGAAATGTAACCAGTGTGCTAGAAACCGCCTAAATCATGGCCTAGCCCAGCACATGATTCTTCTTCTGTGTTCAAATGCCAAGATGTCTAACAGCTGCAGCCACTCTCCACCTACACCTCAATTGCAGAGGAACGTCCTCACGGTACAATACATGAAACATAGAGGACTGAGCGAAGCGAACCTGGGAGAAGCTAGCAATTCTACCAGCACAGTCCAAGCTGACTGAAGGAAATGCATTGCGGGCATAAAGGTACATACGCAGTTGAAGCCTTACGAAACACAGCACTAGGCCAATAAAGCAGCTCTCACTGGGTGGACCAGATTTGCTGGAATCCCCGAAAGAAGCATCCTCTAATGCATCTTTCGGGGATTCCAGCAAATCTGTGTTTATGGACCTCACTGCAATTGAGGACAGCAGATCTGCTGCAAAAAGGTATCGGAAACGAATTGTTCGATGTTGATGAACAGGTGGACTGCCACAAGTACTGTGGCGCGCACGCAGAGACTGCTCGGCGAGTGCAAAAGGATTTTAAACTGTCCGATCTGCGATCTGCTGGAAACTTTGAAGCCAAAAGCTGCAGGCACGCATGCGGTGGGCTGTGGCAAATGTTGCTGGAACACCGATTGTGGTTCTATCTGTTACATTGGCTCCAGCAGCTTCAACGGCTCCCGCTGCGGCAATTGCAGCAGTAGTCAAGGCGTCATTAATATTCGTGAGTTTAAATCGATTGCAAGAACTCCTGAATGACTTGCTGCGTTTTTTGGGGTTGTTGTGCATGGAGCCAGTGACCAGCTTGTGCAACTTCCCGCAGCACAGCGCCTGGGAAGTGTCTCTGTATGGCTGGTCCTTGCAATTTATAATCCAGCCAGGGAGACTGAGAGCCTCGGATAAATAGCGTGGGGGCTTTGTAAGGCTCCCTGTGCCCCTCAGACAGCGACTGTTGTGGATCGTGCACTGAAAGGGGTGCAGCGGACAAACCGAGCGAGCGGTTTCGAGACACAAGGGCACCCAAGTGATGCAAATCCAAATGCCACATCAAGCGTTCTGTCTGTTGCTCCTGTTGTTGTTGCAGCTGTGGCTGTTGCAAATGCTGCTTGAGGCTCTCGTGGTCCTGAGGGTCTGTCTCGGAGGGGAGAACGACCCCCTGACTCATTCTCTCTGCGTTTCCAACGTGTACCTGCTCCCTGAGCAGGTGCTTGAGTTCTGCCTCCCTGTGAGTCTCTGTGGTGAGCGAGAGCAGCAGCCACTGCAGCACTGCAGGCTTGACGGGTGGCTGCAGCTGCTGCAGAGCTTTGGCTGCCGCAGCCTTTGATGTGAATAAAGGCAGCGGCAGATCCAACAAAATACCCACAAGGGCCGCAGAGGAGTACGCACCCTCCCGTGGGGGAGGCACCATCCTCCCCACATCCAGGCAACACTCACTGCTGCTGCTGGTGCTGTCGCTGCTGCTGCTGGGAGTCGCAGCATCAGTCGTCGTCACTGTCGATGCTGCCGAGGGAACGAAGATGCTGGTTGTCTCTTTGGAGGAAACGGACTGAGCCACGGCCTGAGGATGCAGGAGGTAAGGGCTAGGAGCAATATCCAGCACTACCAGTGCCTTGAAGAGCGAGGAGTCTAAAGCATCCAGCGCTGTCTGCATGCACACGAGGCCGCCCATACTGTGGCCTATGAGTACCAGACGAATACCCAAAGCCTTTGCTAGTGCCTGAACATGCTGCACGCCTTCCCCGTGAGGTGGCAACACCTTCCGACTGCCGCTAGTAAACAAGTGTGTCGAGACGCTGGACGGGTGTAAGCCTCGCTTCGCGGCCTCTTCCCTAAGCAGCAAGTAGATCTGCGCGTACAAATCGCGTGCCATCAAGTGGATCCTCAGAGCACCCCGACCGCTGCAACCATGACCTCGTAAGTCGAAACAAAAAGCCCTAGAGACACCGTGAGCCGCTGTCTCAGAGGCGATCATACCCAAAGCCAAACTGCGGAGGTTTCGACGGCCACCCAGGATTCCGTGAAGCAAAAAATACCAGACCTCCTCCTTGCTGCTGCTGTTGCTCGCAGTACTGCCATGGGTGCGGCTGTTGCTGCTGCTGCTGCACCTGAGAGGAACCTCAGTTGACGCAAGAGGCACAGCCTCTGGAAAGAGGCACCGAGCTTCCTCGCTGAGCAAACGCAGGTGACAGTGCGGACTAAAATCACCAATGCCACCGTTGCTACTGCTGCTACCGGGGCCGCTTGAGGTAGTGGTGGCCATGCTTCGGTAAGCGGCAGTTACTGCGGGGTCATTGCTGGATCTGCCTTGCTGATGCAGCTGCTGCCTCTGATGCGAGGCGGTAGAGCTTGATCGCAGAGCGGAGGGAAGGTGGAAACACCGTTGTGTGCGCTGTACCTGTGAAATATCGGGCTGGAGTTGCTGCCTTACACTCGGTCGCAAGACGTGGCGGGCAAGAAATGCCATTGCTGATGGTAGGTCTAGCAGCAACACAAAGCTAAGCAACAGGGAAAGCAGCACCAGGGGCACCTGGTGCCTCCTCATCAGGTGCTCAGAGTGCAGCCAGCCGATTCAAAAATGTTCTGCTCTGTCAATGGACTGCTTTTCTCTGTCTAACATCAAAAAACAGAAAGTAAATTGCAGCGGGGCGTGAGCTTGCTAAGGCAGCTGTATTCGCCCTGTGCCTCCTCGGCTGTTTGCTGACTGCTTCAGTTTTCGGCTGTAGGCAAAACGACTAATGATCCCGAGAACATCGGCTCAACTAAGTAAGGTGGCAGACGCACCAGGAGGTGCAAAAGCTCTGAGATGCGCGACTTGCATACCTGTATGACCGCTGCAATCGGAAATACACGAAATTCGTATGCACTGTTGTAAATTCTAAAGAGGGACTTGTCTCCACAGCTGCTTCCCAGTCTTCCACGATCAAGTACAGTTTAGTTGTTTTATTGGTACTCTTGATGAGCTTCTTTCGTTTACTCCACTTTGTTCACTTATTCTTCGACGCTTTGTCCCATATCGTGGGAGCCGCACACAGCCCCGATGCACTTGCAGAGTTGGCCTGTGCCTGAGTGGCGTTATGAGTATTAAGCCTAATTAGTTAATTATACGGTGCTTCATTCTTCTCTTCATGTTAAAATTTCCCGTGCTGCTTTCTGAGCTTACTTCGAGAGTAGCTTGCAAAACTATGGCCTTCGCAGCCGTAAAGAGACTACGCCACAAAAGGGTTTTCAAACGGGATATTTTTATGAAAAGTTTCGTCCTAGACGGGCAGCTCTACATCAAAATAAAGATATATATGTGCAAGCGCGCCCAAGAAGGCTATCAATGGCTCCCGTAGCATCGACATTATGCGCGTGCTTGTTAAATGCCTCTGGCAATTGAGGATAAAAGCGTTGGTCCTGGGGCAGCGCTGGATGAGGCCTATGCCCAAACACTCTATCGAAGCCAAAAGAGATCCATTAAAGATGCATTACTTCGAGAGATTTGCTGCCCCCACTTTATTAACATCTTTCCACAGCCTTTCGACCGGAGGGCATGAAGTTGAGGGTTTCTGCGAGTACCTACATGTCCTGAGCGGTTGAAACTTTCACACGCAGACACATAAAGCAAAATAAATAGATTGTTAGGGTACAGCGATAACTTCTCACTGTAGCGGCTTACACAAGTCGCACCGGACACTCAGTACTTTCATCTTTCCGAGGAAAAGTGCTCGGTCACGCTAGTGATTGCTGAAGTACCGCTTTGCCCGTTGCATGCGCAAATAATCCTAATGTTTTGTATCCCTTTGTATAATAGTTTGATAGAGCAGGTAGAGCGCCAACAAGGTTCTGCGGGAGGGCTGCAGCCGTCGTTCATGATAAGCCACTAGGACAGAAGGCTTGGGGGCCGAAGTTGTGAGTTGGCGCTCTCATATGCAGATCGTGAGGTTTGGGCTCCTTCATTTGTTAAAATTTGGTGTGGACTTATCCCTAGAAACATTCGAGCTATCGCTTCGGTGCAACAACGTGAGCCGAATGGCAGGCATCAATGTTCCCTACCTGATTGTGTGACTTGGATGGCCTAAATAGTTAGATGCAGTAAGCTACAGCTGTACACACAGCTGGTGCATTGACGCATTATGCGTGCTCCGGCCCCTTGGCAAAGCGTCAGGATAGGTCCCTGAGCCTGTGTGGGCATCGAGGACTAAGGTGTGTTGACACTGCATCCAAGCCTGAAACTTTAGCATCTGTGAACTATCCTGCCATACCCTATGTGCACTGATTATCTACTCAAGGTGCCCTAAATCCAGATAGTGCTACTCAAAAGTACTTGGGTCGTCAGTTTTGTACCCTGTGTTTCTACCAAGTGAATAGGTAAATGACAACTTGACTGTCCAGTCACCGATTTTTCCAAGAGCAAGCAAACGCAGCTGCGCTTGTCTCTGCGCTAAACTGTAAACTGCAGCTGACATCGCCTAAAAAGGACAGCAGTCATGCATGTGGGAGCCATCCTAAAAGGGCTACTGCTCTTTCCCAAGATCTAATTATTGCCGCAAGAAACCCTACCTCATAAAAGGCCACCTGTGTCTCTACATGAGGGGAGGTGCATGAAAAAACAACATATAGTGCAAGTTTTCCAGTGACCTTGTACTTAGAAGATGTCGGGACAGCAACTCCAGTTGCCGGAATCGCGCGCTTCCCAGTATCCCCCCTGAGAATGAATTCACACGCGAATATCGAAAGGCTAAACTTATTAGACAAGCCTTGAGTGTCAGCACTGCATGCAACCCAGCACCAGCAAACTGGTATTCTAGTTCAACGAAGAGCTCATGGGCTTTGCTTTACCTTGTACACCCACTCTTCTGAGTCTGGTTGCCGCATAAACCACATGGGGGTGTAATCTGCCTCTCCGCGTGGCCGCATACGCGCAACAGCTCTGCAAAAGCCGCAAACCCGAGACAATTTCTAGGATGCAACCCGTAGAGCAATCGAGGAATAGGCCCTAGTCTCGACATCTAAGGCTTCTTTCGAACCCCTTCTGTAGAGCGAAGCGCGGAGGGCCACTAAGTGTACTATTTGTATGATATGAGTTTGCCCTAGGGTATTTTTTTTTCAGTGCTCATACCTTTGTTTCTCCTCAAGCCTGTTCTTGTGTTGGACCGCCTCATCCACAGAGCCCTCCTCGTACAGCCGTTGGTCTGGCCGACGCCGGGAGTCGGTCGGTGCTGCATGCGCGGCGTACTCCTGCGACAGCTCGTTTAGCTCCATCGTGAAGTACCTGCAAGGAAACCCCCTAAGCAGCAGCCTAAACAATACAAAAAAGCGCAAGGGCGTTCAGGAGGGGATGCCGCGATGTCTGCCAGGAGCAAAAGCCACCCCTCAACACCTGCGCCACCGGGGTTAGTGTTTTCAGCGTTCGAAATGCGAGCCTAGATGATGACTCGAGTACGAAGGCCGACCCGAATCCATAAAACTGGTCCGCATTAGGAGGGCGTGCCGCTGGACGCCATATAAGGCGCTTTGAAGCTTCTATCCAAGGAATGGACTCCCAGTACTCTGCGAAAAACCCGGCGAAAGCATAGAACAGCCCGAGATCATCCAGATGCATTCAGCGGGCGGGAGCTCGATGGCTTCGACACGCTCAGGCCCCAGCTGTCTAATAAACCTGAACACCTACGGGAAATGACGGCGTCCAGCTGATTGTCGGGGCTATCCGCTGGTGGGCCTGTTTCGCTCCTTCGAAATTCATCCACCTGAATGTTCATAAAGATCCCCCGAAGCCGGCATCATGCTCGGAAGTCTGAACCCTAGGAGCCTAGAGCCACGCAGTCTTGAAGCCTTGAGTGCAAAAAACCTCTACAACCCACCTGAGGAGGAACTTTCCAACTTTTGTGGGGGTTGAAGGGAGGAGCTTCCTCAACGTAGAGGGCGGTGGACCACTGCCCTGCAGCGAACACTCTACGCCCTTGCCTGCTGCTTTGAAGTGCACCCAGCAGCACCCTCGGCTTCGCAACAGTGATACGAGACGAAGGCTGCCGAGGGCAGACGGCAGCGCTGTGTGCGACGAGGAGAGGCTACACAGCGAAGATTTGTCGCCAGTACGGCTGATTCTCGAAGATTTAGAGCATCAAAATCACCGGAAAGGCGGTAGTAAGGTCGCCCAGAGGCGTCAAAAATAATCGCTCGGACGTGATGGCAAGTCTTATCAAGCCTGAGGCACAACACCCCTCAACAGCAGTCCCTCATCGATAGATGACACACCCTGAGCTGCACACCTTTGAGCCACAAATAAAAGAACCGCCTGTTCCATACACACACTAAAGCCGGCCCCCATGAAGGGAGCCGCAAAGCGCATCCTATAGCCTAAAGTTTTGGATTCTGGGTTCGCTTGCCATCCTTTCCTCAAGAATTGCAGCACAGAGAAGTCTCCCGTGGTTTCGTTTTGAACCAAACACGTCCCGTCTCTGCAGAACGTATACTCAAAGCCGAAGCCTCTGAGGATTCAGCGCGATTCGGAGTTCGCCCCTGTTGCAATCGTAAAACACCCGTTAGAAAAAGCCCAAGGCCAAACCCAAACGCGCAGCCACGTGCTTACACTTCAATCCAGAGTTTCCCCCATATGACGTTATGCACCAGCATCTTGATCCTTTTGTAAGAAAATCGTTCTCCCGTCCGATGCAGCATGACACGGGCCATACCCGGCATTGTTACCTGCGAGGCAGAGTTGTGTATTACGTAGATTTACAGGACTGCTGTGGGCTTCATTTTAGAAACGCCATTGCGAGGCAGAGCTTGCACAACTGCCCCCTCTGCAATCAAACTTCGACGTCTATAGCGTCTCTGAGGAGAGCAAGGGGCAAGGCCAGTTCAGGATTAGGAAGGACGCAAAGCACCTCGAGAGACTTTCCAGAAAAACGGTTGCGGACCGTCATCCAACCCTCGCATGAGAACTCTGGCGCGTTTGCCACGTAGGCCGTAATAGGGGGATGATGCCCCACCTTCGAAGAGACAAACCGCATTTCCAAATGTTCATGAAATATAGAATGCTACTGCACACAAGCTCCCGCGCGAGTGCCTTCACCCCACATCCAACATCAGCCGCATGCGGCACAAAGATCAGGAGGAGGTGGCGGGGAGCGGCACGAGAATTCTCCCCAGCGAATGCATATGCTTCTTCGCCCCAGAGTTCAGGCCTTACTTGCTCCGACAGGAACCTAAATCCCCGATGAACGAGCTCGAATGTCTCCCCCAGTAACGGATTGAAGGGCTTGTACGTCCTGAATGACGAGCAAAACAGTCAGACTCCAAAATGGTTAGCGTATCCAAACCTTGATGCTTCGTTCTCTGGATAAAAGCGATGAACGTCAGATTCTCAGGCTTGACAGCCTGCTGAACCTCGCCTTTTAAAGGCGCTTTTCCTCGCCTCGGCTTACCTGCCAACTGCGGATGCATAGGGAGAGAGCGCGAAGACCGTAAGCGCCAACAGCCGATCCACACTTCGCGGAAAACGCGATGCCTTGCGTCGTCAACACACACATGCCCATTCAAACCAACTCCCCAACCCCTTCTGGCTCCTGATGCGCCCTCTATGGGCTGTCGCGCGGTGTAGCGACTCCAACCCGAAGCCTACGACAACTCAAAAAACCAGCTCGCGCACAAGGTTGAGGAGGTCAGCATATTGGAGATCCTCGCACTGCCTTTGGAGGAAACTCGTTGGCTCGTTGAAATAGACCGGCATTGCTATGCGGCTCAGGTCCCGTCCAATGCAATCCTTCAGCACTGACCAGAGGTTCACCTGCAGGAGTGCACATCGAAAACACTGACTCCGCGAACTGTACGTACATTCGCGCGCACACAAACAGCGAGATACCTTGGTCGTAGAGAGTTGGGGAGCTCGTTCTTCACGAGAGTCAGCAAACAGCCAAAACTTCGGACCGCAAACTCCAGCGTCCCTTTAGAAGCTGGCTTTCGTTTTGAACTAAGGGTATAGGGCGTGTCTACTTTGAATTCCGTCCGAGGCTTCGGCAGCGCCAAACGCTGGGCTGGAAAGAGTCCCCCTAAGGGGCAGTTGCAGGCTGCCAGGGTGAGAGGAGCATTCGTTGAAGCCGAGAAGGGGGACCCCCTGCTGCTGCTGTTCAAGCTCTCGGCACCGCTGGCAGAAGGGCTGCTGGAGGCTGGTGCTTCCGTCACGAAAGAGCCATCCTCTTCTTTCTGCCTTCTCTCCGAAGCGCCCACATCTATGCACGTCCCTGCCTGGTCATCCAGGATCTGAACGCGCATCGACGCCATGAGCAGCTGTCGCAGCATCGCTAGCAGCCTACCTACAGACTGCCGTTGCCAACAACTCTTGGGTATGCCAAGACTCCACCACACAATCGCTGGATCCTGGACCGTACTACCTGCCTGCCTGCCTGCCTCACCTCATCGCAGTCGAAGAATTCGAGCGACTCGTTTCCGTCATCATCATCACTGTCGCTCGTGCTAAAGCCGCCACCCACCTCCGCAGCAGCAGCAGCTGCAGCTGCAGCTGCTGCTGCAGTTGCCGCCTCGTCTCCTTCACCAGTAGGCAGCCGCAGACCTGCTATGATGGCGGCAATTTCTGCAGCCGTGAGGCGAGACCGTTGTCTGCTCAACTGCATCAGCCTTCCCTGTACCTGCAGAACCTCACGGGCAAAACAGCGTAAACAGTGGGCTCAGAGGGGCGAATCTTAGGTCGCATTCCCCGAGTCTCTACACAAAACAAGAGTCGCGGCATCAGCGCGTTTCGTCAAGCGGAAAAGCAAGACAAGCAAAAACAAGTCCGTTCAATGACCAACGCTGGGATGTACGAGCTACAGCTTGTGAACACGCCTAAGGCATTCAGAACACGCGACCTATTCTACACGTCATTCAGGCTCTGAACGACCGACGGAATAGTTAATATTCACAGCATAAACTTAGCACTAAAGGTCTAGCCTTAGATAGAGGTCACGCTGAGGTGTTGATCACGGAGGCGCACACCTTGTCAAGCTTGTACGTCCTCTTTGCAAGCGACCGGACAGACTTCTCGAGTTGGCGGCGCTGTGTGTACTCCTCACTCAGTAGCTGCTCCCACTGTTGCAACAGCTGCTGCAATAATTGCTGCAGTTCATCTACCCTTTGTAGCAGCAGCACGACGTCTTGGGGCAATTGCGAACCTCCTTCGAAGCCTGACACAGCGCAGCACACACGGCAGCACATTCCAAAAACTTATACTCTACGCACCAGGCCCTTTCATGAGTATTAAACCTAAAACCTTAACGAGCCAAACGGAACCGCAAAAACACGACGATTGTCACATGCCGCCACCGCTAGAAGAGCGAAAGCATCTTTGCCGCACTTGTTTGAGGAATTTGTGCTGTAGACTTCAGCACTGTTGCCTGCAATTCGGAAATCCGCGAGCACGATGTCTGCAGAAGAACACATAGGCAGATACGCAAATTCACGCATATATGCGTAAATATGCAGACACACACACAGATACACACATACACACACACATACACAAATACACATACACACACACAGGTACACGTACCCATGCACGCACAGATGTATACACATATGCCTAAAACAGACAGACAGACAAAAGACAGACAGAGAGACACGCAGATACACGAAGACTCGAAGCCTTTACTCTCATCAAGTTACGCGTGCCGCGAAGACAAGCTACGCACTGCTAGGAATCAAAAGGCTGATTTCTTCCTGAATTACGTGCCTGGATATTCTGCCTTGCACTAATGACGCTCTCCAGCAGCAGCACAAGAGGCCCCTCAGTACTGGTGGCATCGAGCAAGCTGCTGGTGCTCTCTGCCTCCTGAGACGAGTGCGTTGTATGCAGGGGACTGCCAGCATTGCTGTCTACCACTGCGCATTCTCGCAAGACACACGTTTCTGTACTCGCCATGCGGGCAGCTTCCGAGGGCGGCTGTTGCTGCAGCGCGGTCGGTGGGGACTGCGCTGGTGGTGGTGGTGGTGGAGGTGGTGGTTGCTCCAGAGGTGGTGGCAGCTGCTGCTGCTGCTGCACTGTGGCTACAGACAAGGAGCGCAGCCTGCTTGTGGCAAAAGCCGCCGCAGCAGCAGCGCTAGATGCGACGACCCCTGCCAGTCCGCTAAGGGAACTGCTGCTGCTGCTGCTGCTGCTGACAGCTGACGGAGACGGTGCTGTTCGCGCTTCTGGAGCTGCAGTGGCAGGATCTCGCTGCTCCGGCTGAAGGTTCTTGGGCTGCAACGCCTTTCTACTGCTGCTCGTGTTCCTAATGCGCGAAGTATCTGCTGCTGCAGTTGGAGCTGCTCCTGCTGCAGCTTCTTGCGGCGGTCGCCTGCGCTGCTGCTGTCGCTGCTGCTGCTGCTGTCGCTGCTGCTGCTGCTGCTGTCGCTGCTGCTGCTGCTGTGGCAGTCTCTCCCTTTGGCTTCCCCCTGCTCCTCCCGACCGGGGAATTCGATGAGTGCCGCTGAGGGCTGCCCTTTGGCCTTGCTTGAACGCGGCATACCTACAGTCACATCCAAAATTCTACACCTCAAGCCTTAAAGAGCGCAGGTCCACATGCATATCCCGTACACCCCAAGCTTTGCAGCAACTCACCACATTTGCTTCTCCTCCTGACTTTCAGCCCGGAGAAAAAGGGTCTGCTGATCTACCACGTCCACTTCAAACCGCACCGGGTCATCTGAATTCGCAGCACACTCTACGCGCTAAAGTCTGATCAGCGCCAAAGAAAGCGTGGATACGCGCAATTCTGAAGGCTCGCAGCATTTCTAGAGGCTAGGGCTTTAAGGAAAGCAGCGATTCCCAGACTGCGTAGCCTGAAGAGGCGGCAAAACAGAATCACGATGCCAAAAAAATTAGGCTTAGAGCTAGTGTCTCGGTATTACGGGGGCAAAGCCGGACGCGGCACTGATTCAGCAGAAACATTTCTTTAGGCGGGGAGTTCTTCGTCGTGCTGTACTTGAAGAAGCCCGCGTAGACGAAGAAATATCTAAAAGTGCACACATACACATACATACAACATGAACACACACGTATACATATACACATACATGCAAAACGAACATATACATATACACATACACATACGTACAACACGAACACATACACATATATATATATACGTATAGACCCCCTGTCCTGTTAGTGCCAAACGCATATGCAGATCAGGTATACGGGAGTCGTTCAAAAGACCACAATGTGGTCACTACCCTCCAGCTGCACGCCGCGTAGGTATAGACATCCCAGAGAGCAAGCGGCTTTTAAAACTCACCTTGGCCTCCATGAAGAGAGGAGATTGGTCCACTTCTGAAGCCATCCCTGCAGGAGCAAAGTGCTGGATGCTGCTGCTGCTTTGCCGGAGTTGCCTGGCATCGGTGCAACGAGAGACAAATTAGCCCGCGGCTGTCCGCTGTGCTTCTGCTGCTGCTGCTTCTGCTGCTGCTGAGGAGGACGTCCACCGACGGGAGGACGCACAAACACAGAGTTCAACTGATGGTTTGTGTGCAGTCTTGCTTCCGCCTCCAAGGATAGGGCAGGCGCTGTAGCAGGTATCTGACTACCCCTGCCAGCTCCCGACACCCCAGTGGAAGAAACTCCACTGTGCACCGACCGTCGCTGTTGCTGTTGCTCTTGCCTGTTGCGGAGGTGATGCTGCTGCTCATGCTCATGCTGCTCATGCTCATGCTCATGCTCATGCTGGTGCTGCTGCGGGATGGCTTCGCTTGCCGACGACGGCTGAGGTCTCCACAGACTATCCTGTAAAGAACACCATGCCGACAGCAGATCCGACTGTTGCAAATGTCGCCCTCTTGCAATGCTCTAGAGTGCTGCTACCTACCAGAGGGCTCTGGCAACAATTCTCCTGCTGCTGCTGCTCCTCGAGTTGGTGCTGCTACGCTGTGCATTATTACTGAGCCTTACCGACGGTGGCGGGGGGGGGGATGGAAGCCCTGTTAAAGGCTCAACGGCAGGATCTGGCGTGGTTTCTTCCGTCTGCCTCCCACTTGCTGATTCAGGCTGTAAATGCCTGCCTGATGAGGCCGAAGCGGGAAGCACTGCTGTGTGCCCCCCTGCGGCGGCTGCAACGAGCTGCTGGTGCCTGGGTGAAGCAGCGGAAGACTGTTGCTCCTCCCCCTCTTGCTGAGGATGCTGTGGCTGCTTTTGCTGCGCTCCGCTTTTGACAATGGAACCCGGTACGCACATAGTAGCCTCCTCAGTCTGATCCAACTTCAGATGCTGCTCCTCTTCCTCCTTCTGTCCCTTGTAGCTCTGCTCCTGCCCTTCCTTTTGCTGCACGCCCGGCAGACTGGGCGAAGCAACAACGCCTTCATGCGAAGGCAGTACCGGCAGATTCAGTGACTCTTTTTGTTGCTGCTGTCGATCCTGCCTCTGATGTGTGTGCAGCAGCGGGTCGTGCGGCTGCTGCTGCTGCTCCAGTTGCTGCGGCTCCGGCTGCCTGGTAGGAGCGTCCATCTTCTCGACACGCTACGCAGGAGAAGCAATGACCGCTGTATATTAAATCAACAGCACGGTGCAGCTTGCTGCAGCTGTTATGAATGCTGGTGGCGATTAGGCCATTCGCGCCCCCCCTATGAAGGCTGAGAACAAGGGCACGAGACAGGGCGGTCTTGTTGCTGATATTGCCTTTTACAGGGAAGGGGGAAGAGCCACTACTGTTTGCTGCGTCATAGCGCAGCACAGTAGGCTGCTTGTAGCCGCTGCTAAAATTGCTGCAGGATCATAGAGGTTCTTCACGGAAGTGGCGGCCTGATATTCACTGCAGCAAGTAGTGCTGTCTGTCGCAGTCGCGCCTATTCCGTTGGCATCTTCGGGTGTTACTCTAATACTGTAGTGTATAGTGCGGTTGCAGCGGTCGCGGCAGGGACAAAGTAAGCAAATGTAGCAGCAACAAGAGGAGGACAACAGTTCAGGGAGTTGATGATTTTGTTATTGGTGAGCCAGACATAGCCTACGACCATCTGGGTAATCTTTTTTAGACGGAAGAAGTGCACGCTGAACGGGGTGCAACAGCTGCTTCATTGATTGTCTGCGGCTGCAAGCTAAGCCGACGCACATGCAGCCCCGACACTGGTGTCACTGATATTAGTATAGCGAGAAAATGCTGTTCAAAATTTCGCAAAAATTTCGCGGGGAAAGACCATAGCTGGATTAGTGCTAGATTTTATGACTACAGTATCTGGACCTGTCCCTGATTGCTCTGGTCGTAGACTGTGCACTTCATGTGGGTAGCCTCAATATAGGTTCTTCGGAGGACTACACTTTGGAATTTAGCGGTAGAGCATTTAGCTTTGACAAACGCTTCCAAGCGAGTCTATGGATGATGTGGCTGTACTTATATCCTTGTTGCTATCCAGGAGCGTAATCTCTATTTGACTACAAGTGGATCTGCTGTGTCCTTGTGGGCCAACAGTAACATCATCTCTAACCTCCCCATAGGGAGACCGTTAGCTCCAGGATCCATCGAGAGCTAATTAGAAAGTCATTGCGTATCTGTCCAAGAGACTTCCCCGCTTTCTCCGCTCTTGCACCTAATGGTTTGCCGACATACGGACAGATGGACAGCAAGTCTAGCGGGATACTCGGTTACGCTAGACTTAAGCATCGTCCACTACGCTAGTTTTATTTAATTAAGAACCAGTAAATAAATGAATAATCGGCTTGTCTACCCGTACATCTTATCTATTGCATACTACTGTTAGCTTGATACAAGAAGGCACAATGCTGTGCGAGTGTGAGTTAGACATTATAATATGGGAAACTAGCTGCGAATACCCGCAGTGTTTAGAGTATTTAAAACTTGTGCATCTAAAATAACCTGTTCCTGCATGTCTGGAGCTCTAAAGAATGCAGGCACCGAAACGAGCGAGCTCTTTTGGGGACCACCCAAGAAATTTCTATTTTGAGGTCTAGAGTTGCGTATCTCCCTACAAAGGCCTTCGATGAGGCACTACATATGGTAGCACCACATAATTGGATGCAGTGTTCAGCAACTTGAGTTTCTTTGGCAACAAGCTGGAAAAAATACCTCTGGCTCTGGGAAATGATTGCGGAAAAACGCATTTTGAGGGTGGCAGAGACCTGGCTGCAAGCTTATCTGCATGTGGTGCTCTCATGCCTGGTAGAAAGCCAAGAAGCACACGTCAATAGAATGCTTATGGATGCATCTATGGGCGCATGCCGACCAAATAATTATGATAGCCGAACAGACGGGCACATACACGAAGAATTCACTAGTCGGTTGACGATAGACCCCCTTTTATACCCTGCAAATGGAGAGAAACTAGTACGCCAAATTTTATGAGATCGCACTGCACCTTACTGATGAATGAATTTATTCATGCGAAGGATATCGTCTTCCTGCAGGGGTCTAGATTAGCCCTGACTCGTCGGCTCATGCAAAGATCAGCTCAACAGTAAGCCATTGGAATTCCAAAAGAGCCTTAGATGGGGAGTTCATCAATAAATAAACATATGAAGAAATATGCTAGCTTTGCTTGCAAAGACCACAACAGACAAATGCTCTTTTGGCAGTGGCCTCTCGCGAGTAAACGAAGTGTCACAGGCAGTGGTCGGACGCTCGCCAGCGATTCAGCGATTAAACGAGAGGCCGGTGGGCTTCTGCAAATGATGGAGCACTTGCGGTGTCGGGAACGAATGAATGCATCTTCAGAGTATTTGACTAAGAGAGACGACTTAAGCAGACATCTAAAGTTTGGGAGTATCGAAGCTGGTGCCAACTGACCCTAGCATACAGTCTAAGGTGGACTAGAATAGGAAGCCTGAGAAGCCCGCCCTCCTTAGCAGCTCTGCACAGCCCCCCAACAACGCACCTCATTCTACTGAGGAGGATGAAGCCACATTGGCCTTCGGAGTGAAAGCGCGTGCAAAAGCCCGAAAGATTATCAAGCGGGACCAGGCCCCGCGGCAGACGGCTACTTGGCAAGCAGAGAAGGCGCATCAGGAAACGAATACCCCTATTCAGGATGTGGCGCGCAGAAGGAGGCCGCACTGTCTAGGGCTTTGGGAGACTAAAGGTCAATTTGCGCTGATACAAATACACAATAAGGGCCTATAGTTGCTAACGTTCGGGCCATAATAGGGCTATCGCGATCCATCCTGAGGCAGATAAACAGAGCCATCGCACCAACCCCAATGCTGCACTTGGACCTCCCTTGGCACTATGCTCATACAAATTAGGCTGCCTAACGAAATCTTCGTCCTTGTAATGAGTAGCCTTAAAATACGACCGTATACTTTTCTACCCGCTGCTCTCCCCGATCCCTGGTCTACACTGAAGAGACCCCCTATGATTCGGGACATTGCCTGCAGCCGGGGGTCATCAGCCAGCCTTTTGTTGAAAGGCGATTTAAAGAAGATCTTGCTAGCGCACGGTGAAGTACACAAAAAGATCACGATCGGCGAACAGTACTATTGGCGGCAGTGGGCTATGTGCTGGGTGCGTGGATATTTGGTCTTGTTTCTTCGATTGTATCATGGAAGTACATGTACCAGATATGTTGCGTGTTTCGCCGATTGGACCAATGGAAGGACATGGATTCAGGGCTGCATGCTTTGCGGACTCGTAGCGGAAGGAACAGGTACATAATTTAGAATTAGAGGGCTATCACACGTAGAAACGTGCTCTGAAAGGTGATGAATGACCTGCGCTGGTAGGCTCTACTCGTAGCTCTGCAAGGAGTCTGTCAAGGGTTGGAACAATCAACACCAACATTTGATTAGAATAACAAAGTGTGTTAGTAGCGGAGCTTCTGCATCAGACGATAGTAGGTAGGGTGGTTGTGCCAATGCACAAACTGGATTCCGTAACGGTTGCTCGTTAGCATCTCCACGAGAGGTCCACTGCACATTATTCTTTATTGCGGTTTCGAAGCCGCTGACACACAAGCTTGAGTTACCGATAGGAGCTCTTCAAGTCCCTTAAAACGCCTTTCGAATCCGCCTCGTATGAAGCTCTAGAGCGTCGTGACTTTCTGCGGAAGTGAGAAGCGTCTATAGTCCGTGTCAGTGGCAATCGTGTGGACAGTTTTCTGTAACTCCCTGAATTTCTACACGTTGGAGGTCTGTTACCCTATCCTGAACACACGGGGCTGAGGGAGAAACAGCAGGCTGTATGGGTGTGTATTTACTGATCATCGGTTTTCCTACATCCAGAGTAGAATCCTGCGGTATCTCATGGATGTAATACCAGCTCACACTACGGGAGGCCAAATGTGAAGATAGCTACACAATGTGCTCTTTGAACGAAGCCCTGTAGTCCTATAAGTGACCACAGAAATGAAGATGTATTGGCAACCACAAAGAGTGAATTGCAGGTCACCCTAACGGCGGACGTTCAGACAGCCAGAAACTTTGGCACAGAATTTTATGCGTGTTTATTTACTTCTGCAAATTCGTTCAAACCCTTCGGTCAGATTGCTCCGTGGTCAGCGGCTTCGGCATAGGATGGTGTTCGTCTTATCGTGTAATGTTATCCTGTAATGCAGCAATGTTGGAGCTTATACACCTAAAATACTTGGTTAATAGCTTGCTATAGCTGGTGCGTTTTGAGTGAGGTTGAGGACGGCAGAATGCTTTGGGCAGGTCACTGAGAGTGCAGAAGGCTATCCGCAGCACTCTGGCTGGTACTGGTTTCTCCATAGAGGCGTGCAATCTTTTATAAGTGGCTGAGCTAGTGTACTCGTATGCAATGTGTTTGCTTGCTGTGAACAGGGCATTTGATGTGCGTAACTGCGACACTTTATCCCATATTTCCCTCGCATAGTCTACAGAGAGGCAGACAATAGTTAGCGTGGGCGTTCACAAGAATTAAATACAGCCGCCTTTAAATTGCGATGCCCAGCTAGCTCTTCCCATATTGAGCTGTCAGCTGCTATAAATCAATATGATCAGCAGCTTCTTTATTGTTGCTTGCCTCTGCTGTATCTTTGGACATCAGTTGCCTCCATCCTCCTGTGCGGTGGTGTACACCTAAGGCCATTAAATGGAAAGTGACTTCCTTCCTGATGCGCGGCGTATGTGAGCCGTGGGTCTTTGGCGTGTGGACACACCGCTCCGTCCGCTGAGGTCATACAATTCATAGATCAGTTTTCTATATTGTGTGATGTTGGGAACAAAAGTAAATACTTCTTGGAAAACGAAAGCTGCTTTGGCAGTGCAACGAGGCGCGCACAGAAGTAAGCAATTCGAGTGAAGTGGAATCGTTTAGTATCTGCTAGAATGCGCAATTCGAAGCATATGCATTCCGAATGGGCAGTCAAATGCAACCCAGAGGGTAAATGTCCTTTTACACCTGTGTGACGCACAGCCTTATGATATGGTAAGGTCGTGAAATATAGAGGTCACAGTAAAGTAGTTATTTGCAAGTGATGGTGCGTTGTTTCTGTCACTCCTGCGTCCGGCACTCATAAGCAACCTGCTACGGAAGTGTTTAATAGTCCGGACTTAACGTCCGCATAAGAGGCCTGGAAAGGTTGTACGTGCACGAGAACTCAGTGCGTGTTTGGAGCACAGGCTGTTCAGTGCGGAGGTGTGCTGGGGTTAGTGATGGAAGTGTGTTTGTTGGGATTTGTAGAGGCAGTGGTGTGGGAAGTTGATTACGGAGCAGAGCAGCTTAGTTTATTTGGGATGGTGCATGGAAGCAGTTGAGTGTTGGGTGTGTGTGGATTTGAGGGGGTTATTGTTGGGCAGTCCGCGGCAAGTGGCTGTTTGTTGCGTGTTAGGATTGGGTGCAGCGCGCAGGTATGTGTGCGTGTGTGTATGCGGCGGCATAGGGAAGTAGCATGGAGGTAGGATGTGAATGCGTTGTGGATAAAATGGTATTGCAAATACGAGCATGGAGGGTCGGGATTGGTGTTGCTTGGCTGGAGCGCGTGTGCGTGAAGGCGGAGGCTGTGCGTGTTTGCACCACAGGCTGTTCAGTGCGGAGGTGTGCTCCGGTTAGTAGGGGAAGTGCATTTGCTGGGATTTGTAGAGGCAGTTGAATGGGTTGTGCATTAGGAAGCAGAGCTGGATACTTTATTTGGGAAGATGCATGGAAGCAGTGTTGTCTGTGTGTGTGTTTCTATATCTGTGTACGTGTGTTTCTGTGTGTTTGTGTGTGCGACTGTGTCTGCCTGTGTTGAATGCTGGGGTATGGTGTATGTTTAGCTAAGCTCACCGACCCATGGCTCATGTGGCGGAAATGGCAAGAGATTTATGAAAATGCGTGCTTCACTTTTCTCATGGATATCCTTGTTAATCATGAGTGGCAGATGCTTGTTGACTAACGTTGGAGAAGGAGAAAAAAAGCGCCTACAGGATGACATCGAGCAGTGCTAATTGTGCGTACAACTACAAGGCACATCATGAGTTATACAATATGGTCATCGTGATAGTTGACTATTTTTGTAGGGGGATTCACCCGCCGTGTGTTTCATAAAATTGCATGTACAAGATATATACTTTAGATTCCCAATTACGTATAGATAATCTCGCGAGGAGGTGCCAACGTGAAATTCGCAACATTCGTGGCTACTTCTCTATGCTGTCCTTACTAGTTTCTCTTACGTGTGTGACCTGATTTTGTCATGAATGCATCGATACCACCTTTGACTGCACATCAATGTGCAAATAGGGTTTGCATGCGCTTAAATGGGCATTTATACGACACTAGATGTATTTGCCTTGCAGATGAAAATGACACTGTGAAACACTGCGAGACTACATGTATGTGGCTGCGTAGATGACTGCGCACGCATGTTGGGCACTGTGGTCCGAAGTTATCGATACCTTTTGTTCCGACGTTATTGCTGACTTGTATTTGTTGCTGATTTTTCCAGGTGTTAGGGTCTCGCAAAACTAGCTTTTGCAGAAAGTTTCATGCTGGCGACGACAATGAGGAATTCTTCCATAACGGACCTGGCAAAATACTGATTACGTAATGTTACTGGTGAATCCATACATGGATACATTCTGCTTTCAATACTGTTAAGGGGCACCTTATCACAGACACGACAGGAGGGCTATAATGCACACTTTACCTCTGCGCTGTAAAATATCCT